CGGTGTTTTTAGGTAAAACATATTTCGGTGCATTTTTCGTTAAAAATTTACAGCGTAATAAATTCATTACGTAATTATGTAATGCGCAAAATAGTTAGCAAGGTCATTCGAAATCCAAACAAACACTGAATGTGTATTTATTTCGCTTTTTATATTTGAAAATGTAGTTATAATCACATAGCGCCATGCAATCGTCAATAAATCATGTAAAACTATTGTGAACAAACAGTAATCGCTATTTATGTGTAAGTAATTAATAATAATTTGCCACATATAGAAAAGAAACAAAAAAAAATTTATCAAAAATTTGCATTTTTATGCTGGCATTTTGTGAAATTGTTCGTGAACTTTGTTATAAACGGGATAAACGAATTAAGAGCTTCCTGTTGCGCACAAGTGTTTCGAAATAAATTTCGTGTTAGCCGGCAGCAAATTAAATTCGTAATTTTAACGAAATTAAAGCGTAACATTTCGCGCATGAATTCTCTCATCATTTTGAGGTTAGATTTATAAATATATCGAGTATGAGACAAAAGTCACGTTCACAAATCCATATTTTTTCAATACACGCATTCATATTCATTATCTATTTGCATTCCGGTGGAAAAAAAAATTTCATTCGGAGAAATGTTAAATGCACACGCAGTGCAAATGTGTCATTCGTCGTCGGTGTCGCGCGCAGGAATTGTTTCATCCAGCGTGCGGACAGTTTTGCATACAGTCTACGCCTTGCTACACTTTTAATTTTATTAGTATTTGCGCACTCCAACGATTAGAATACGTTTAATATTCATTTTTACGTTTTATGAGAATGGAAATAGAATTTCTACAAAGTGAGCGTATAAAATGATTGATATTGAGTGGATTTATGCGAAAAATACGCGGATAACACTCTGTAAACATTTTTAAAATAAAAATTTGTAACATTTATCCGTTATTGCATTGTGCTACATAATTAATCTACAATGAAGAAATTAAAAGTCAACGCTTCAATGAAAACTAGCATGTTTTTACATTCTCATGAACAAATATGTTGCTGTTGCGACTTTGAGTTGTTTGTTTGTTAAATAATTATAGAGCTCTCGTGTGTTTCACATGCTTCACGATTTAACCCTCTGTGTGTGTTGATAAGTAGTCCATGTCCTAGTCCAACCAATTCTACATTTTGCTTTCGGGTGACACCTTTTGATTGATACAATATTAATGAATAACGGTAACGGTGATATCGACGAATTGAATTGTATAAACGAGGTTATTGTACCAAATACCAATTGTGTAATATAGTTGCTTTTGCGTTGTGTGTGCGTTCGATTCACTTTTCCTCTTTCGGTTTCTCTCCGATCGGCAAACAAAAAGTGTTGAGGTGTTAATTTATTGAAATATGTAAATTCACAAGTTGCAATTTCATTTCGTGGGGCAACAGCGTTTGTTGCTATGCCTGTTGGCTGAATTCTTAACTGGAACAGAATTAATAGAATTAAAATTGCGTTTTTAATGGAATTCTGAACTTTAAACGTGTTTATAATATGAAGTAAATTTTGCACATGCAATATTACATAGAAAAGTCATCTTTACCTTTCTACGTGTGTAAATTTAAATGTTAATTAAAATTTATTATTACTATTAAAGTATTAAAATATTTGTCGCCAGATTACTCAATTTTGTATGCTTATTAACTTGCGTAAGAAAAGTAAAAGGCCCAAATGACACATAAAAATAAATAATATTTAATTGCATTAGAAGGGCACACAGCGATGTTACCAAAATAACAAATCAACAAACAACAACATTTATTATTTATTATGATTTAATTAAAACACTAATCTTGATCTTGTTTTATTTAAACTTGGGTGTGGCCGGATTAAAACTTTAAAACGTGTTAAATAAAAAAATTATTTAATTCAAACGTAGCTAACAAAAAAACAACAAAACAAGATGTTTTTAAATTTTATTTTATCGATTTGCAAAGGGCGTCGAGAATCGCACCGCGCATAAACTAGTATAAAATGTGTCGAATGAAAACAACATGAAAATAAATTCTAATTTTATTGGACGCTCGTTTACTCGTTTACCCGTACACATTCCCAAAGCTGGCGAATTCGCCTACGCTCAAATGTTGTATTTTATTTTTTTAATTTAAATCACAACGACTGGTTTATTTAATTTATATTCGTAACAAAAGATTATTTTTTGGGTTCGGTTACATTTAAAAAACTGATTTTGCGAAGTGTAAAATGTGAAAATCAATGTGAACCAATACAACGCACGTTTTTTTTTTTTTTTTGGTTTCCAAGGCGTAATTACACCTGAAATCAGCCGAAAAGATCTGGATCATGGTCGATGGCCGGAACGCCCCGTTAAATAACGTCGTTGATAATTCCGATTGTCATTAACTTCGGACCTAGGCTAATGCTCGGCAATTCATCAAAATAGTTTTATTTTTAGTCCTCTCCGCTGAACTTTATATTTATAGAATAAAAGTGTAACACATTTCAGCAATATACAACGATTTTTTATGATGTGAAACTCAAATTAAGTATAAGCAATAGAAGCAAAGCGCAACACTACAATACGTATTTAGTTATTAGTTATTAACGTGTAATAGACTAGACCAAGGTTATTTGGGTGTGGTTGATCATGTATCGTGTGTTCACATACAAAACAACACCATTCAGCGCAAACATAAACGTAAACTGTGTTTTTCAATTGCAGAACAAAACGTTCTTCTCAACAGAATGCGCGATTTTTTTTCTTTTGTGTTGCCTCATTGCCTCTATTGCGTTTCGGAAAGTGCACCGTACAAAAGGTGTATCATTACGGTGCATTAATCGGGCCGACGTAATTTCATGCCGTTTGATAACTACATTAACATAGCACAAGTGCGTTATTAATCTAAGAAAGAAAAACCAAGGCGGAAGCATTCGATAGCGTCTTAATTGCATTCTAGCTTTAATAACGCATTTAATTATTTATTTATTAACAATTAGTTAATTATTAATTATTACACGAGTGTTTCGATTACGGTTGATTGCTTATTAGATTTAAATTTAAATTTTAATTGTTTTTCAAAAGCAGATTTTCACATTTGCCTAGAAATGGGAAAACCAAACATAATGTGAGTGTAAATCATGCGTTTCGCGAATAAGCCACGATCGTAAACAAAGTGCTGTATTACGTTAGCACACTGCAACAGAATTTATTACTTAATTAGTATTGTCACGTTTGAATATCGTAGATGAAGTGTTGCTCAAAGCTAATCTGCGTGCTTTGATTATGGTTTAATCACTATTTCTCTACTTCTACGTGGATACGTATATTCTCTTTGTTGTCTGTTTTAAACTGAGGCAATTCATTGCGTTAATGTTAATAGATTGCTGTGAGATCGATATTACTCTGGTTGATTATAACATAGGCAACCAAATTTACTCACAGTATGAAAATGTAAAAATTTCTTTTGGCAGTAAACAAATTTCTGCCTGAAGTTTGAGGCGTTTTAGCTTTAATCAGTTATAAAGTTCCTTTACATATTACCTTCATCCTAGTGATGCATTTAGGGATCTGTTTACTGCTTATCTAAGAGCTTCAGGCATCACAGCGCTACCTTGACGTAACCTAAAGAACAACAATACCCCCAACATGGACGACGGTGCAAAATGTCTGCGTTTAATTTTATGTAAATACATAAAATTTGTAAATTTGTAAATTTGTAAATATTAATGACGCCGCAATTTTTCTCAGTGCAAAAACAAGCGTATGTAAAAAACAAAACATTTTTTATATTATTCTATGTCTTCTTCTTCTACAACTTCTACTTCTGCTGATTTAATTAAAATTTTAAGCAAGTCATTATTTTGAACAACAAAAGTTTGAGCATTTCGAGCCAACCCCTTTGTTGTTCTAGAATTACACGACGAATTGCACCTTCAACGAAGTTATGAAATATTCAGAATGATGGGCATGTTTTAATAGTCAATACTGCCGCTGATAATAAGTGCAGCGATGTCGGCTAATAACCGATTGTGAGCGGGGAAAGCACATCATCGATCGTCGACGAACCATCAAACAGTATTAGTAGCCTACAAGTAGCTACCTACAAGTAGGTATTATTAAACTGTTCGAGGAACTCATTTTTAAACGATTACTACGATGTTTATTCATATTTGATCGAAGAAAGAAGTAAATATTTGCGTTCGCGCAAGCGGTGTTGGGGAAAAATTGTCACCGTGAAGCGAAATTTTATGTAATTTATTCATTAAACGCTTTTGCGTGGGCGAATTAAATTATAATCGTGCTCGACGTTGTACGGCATGTTTACGCAGGATAAAACACGCTAAATCAACACTGGGGGACAATTTGAACAAGAAAAGCGCAAAAGTTAGGTTATTTTTTGTTGAAATCAAGGTTATGTTATGTTTTGTTGTATTACAGACTATTTAAAAACTTATTTCGTACAACACTTGATAAAAATACATTTAAAATGTTTTAAAGTCATTTAAGTAAATTTTTATCAAATGTAGTGTGAGTGTAGTTATAAATACATCCGTTTAATTTGATTTATTACAAATTAATGCGTCTTTGAATCTATTTATAGATGATTGAAGAAAAAGATATTGTCGACATCTCACGCCATCCTTGTTGGCGTCTATCTCAATGAGAGATTGTGAATTACGAGAAAATGGTGCAACATACAAATACTCGCATATAGTCAGGCCAGTCAAGTATGATAACTGACATAACATGCAAAACTGTATATAACACTGAACTGAACCTTGAACTGATTTTCATTATTACGTCAACCTGACCTAAATGAGTAAAATTAAGACATTATCAGTTAATTTAAGTAAAATGGCAATTTCCACTCGTAGATTATACAAAACGGGCAGTGTTTATTTGATATTGATCATTGATGAAAGAATGTGAATTATTAGCAATAGCGAATCATCTCAACATGCAATGGCTCGCGCCTCACAGCCGCCGGACGGCCAATGACGACGCATTTCAATAAAGCGTTTTAAAACGATACGATATGCGCGCAATTCGTTTGATACGCCACATTTAATAGCGAGTAATTGTTTCGAGGCGATCGTCGGCATCCGACTTAACGGCAAATCAATCACGTGGTCATTATCGTGTGCGGGGCGACCGGAATTTCGTGGTTTTCTTTCCCAGTTTGCTACTTTCCTATTGCAATCTTTCGTCTAATTCGACCGGCATCAGTCATACGTGAACTAGTTACCAAACTATTCTAATAATCATCATCAAGGGTTAAACCGTCTTCTACTTCTGGATATTTTATAATATAATATGAATATACGGTTAGCATTGTTATTTGTGGGTGAGTAAAATTGAAAAATTTTAAATTTTAAAATTTAAAAACGTAGAAATGCATGCGATTTCTTTTATTTTGATAATAATGGCGCCATAAATATTGTTTGCAACAAATCAGCATGGCGAATCTTTACGTTCGCAGACGTCGTGTAATTAATCAATGTGTATACTCGCTGGATTTGCATCATCGTGTGTCAATTTTCGGACGCTCATCAATATATTTAGAACGGCCGACAAATAGCATTATTTGTCATAACACGTACATGAGAAATAAATTAATTGCTCAATATTCTGTCCCTGTCAAACAAAAGTGAATGCTGTATGATGGTTTCGTAAGTCATTTCTAATCCACTCCAGGCGCCTATTTTATTATCGTGCGGAGTTAATTTTAACTTCAAATTTGGCAACGGACAAATCAATCAAGAGCGCACGCAGCAAAAATTAAGCTCAATTCTGATACAATTCAACCTTAAAGTTAAAATATTATTGTTACAGGGCTTGTGTCCACTGGTGCATTTGCCGCCCCACCAGCAAGTGGACTTTCCGGCGGTATGCCTTGTTTTGGTTCGCCGTGCGATTTTAATTCAGGACCTGTTTGCGTCGTGGACGATTCTGGTGTTCCGATGACATTTTCAAGCAGCTGCATGGCCGAAATACAATACTGCCGCTTTGGAATATGTATGAATTATACTTTAAAAAAAAAAAACTACTTAAAAATATAAAATTTACATTTTTTTTCCAGATTACGCTGTTGTAAAACATGGGGAGTGTTGAAATGTTGGCATATTTAATAAACTGCCCCGGGGACGTCAAGATGCACAAACAGAGGACGTAGATCTATTTGTGCACACGCTTTTTAGTTTTGGATTAGATGTACTCGTAGGTTTATACATAATTGGTACAACTTGGGAGCAATAAAAAGTTTTTTGTAGCGCGCTTAGCTTTTGCAAATTGAAAAACAAGTTTGTTTTGTTTGCTGTAGAGGTATACAAAATTATGGGTGTAAATGTAGGTGCTACTTATTTATTACTTATATGTCGCGGGTCAGTATTTTTTCGTAGGTCGACAGTGTACGGGTATGTTGAAATCGTAATTAAGTTTTAATGACGTAATAAAGAGGCTAAAGCATTTTAATTAAACGACAATTATTCCTATGGTTAGAATTGACCCCATCACCCTGACGAAAATTTGGGAGCGCCAAAGGTAATTAATTAACAAATTTGCATGCATCGCGTAAAAAATCAATCTGCAAACGGATTCCTAATAAAACCAGCGGTAATAAAACGCCAAACACGTTTGAAATTTTGCAATTCTGGTAAATAAAACTTTGAAATTTGCATTCATTAATAATAATCGTCTTTATTTAAAAGTAAAATTTTCAAAATTTTGGAGCGCAAATTGTGTTACTTGACATACGTAGGTAATAATTTATCAAAAAGGTAAAATGTGTAAAATTTACACAAAGAAAACACAAGTAAAATACTAAAATAATCATTTTTAAAAATAAATAAATATTTAACACACAATAGTATATCAAGTGCGCTAAACGGGCGCATGCTTCACCCCGTGACTAAAACCCGTGACTAAAGTACTTTAGCCATGACCGTGTTTAAAGTACCTCAAAACCGTGGAAAAACTGGAAAAACAATAGGTAAAATAATTAATTTCATAATACAAAAGACATATTTGTATCAAGGTCACGTAAAAGTGATTAAAATATTTCTCTCAGTCTTTCACTATAGTTAAAGTTAAATTAAATTAAAACGTGTACAAGATTCATTTGATATCTGTTGACTAAAACACATCGCGTGCCAAACACGAAACACATTCGAATTCTTCATCGCGTGCCAATATTGTTCTGTTTTGTATCTCATCCGTCATATACAGAGCGAATGTAAACAAACATATAAAAATAGCATTTACTTAATAAGTGTTTCTTTCCAGCAGTACAAATACAACAACAATTTCTACGTAATATTTAGATTATACAAGCAATATTTACGATGAATTAATAACGCCGGCTATTGATTCAGTTAATTACGGTTCATCACTGGATTTACTTTACTTATAGATATATTAGTTACGAATCATTTACATCCAATGAGAATGCGCTAAATGACTAACTAAATGGCAGCGTTTAGAGTGAAGGAAGCGCATCGGTTATTTGTTCGATTGAATGAAATTGATTTAAATGGTCACTTAATGATTTATACCGAACACATCGTTTCACACGTGTTTGACCTTCACCGATTAACACAATGACAGTAAAAGAAAACGAGATATTACTGAATAGTTTGCATTGTAACGAAGGGACGAGTTAAATGGATCTTGAATACTGAAGAGCAAGAATAACAGCAACGTGCAATGCTGATACATTTACAACGTTACTACACACTTAAAACACACCCATTTTTGTGTTACGAAATCATTCATGGAGTTATTGCGGCCACGATGAGTCGACACAAAAGAAACCATGTGTAATGTGAGTTAATGCGAATAACTGCTTAAGATATTAGTAATTAAAGTGTTATATGACTTTAAAATTATACAAATTAGGAATTTTATTACATATTTTCACATTACAAACCTCAAAGAGCAAAAATAAAAGTTGTAAGTAAAGTTTTGTGCTAGAAAATGATAAAATACTAAAATGGAATATATTACCAGTCGTTAGTAACAAATGTACGTCAACTATCAGTTATTATCTTGTGCCTACAAGTTTGGGTTTGTGTTTGCGCCAAACTTTTTTGTGGTGCGATAAAACCAAGCGCCGACAGGATAAATAAATGCATTCGAATAAACATTTGGAGTGGAATTGCCTGAAGGCGATTGGGACGGTCGTTTACCGCAAAGTAAACCAAAGACAAAATAACGCGATATCTAATCACAGCAGTTACTTAATTTTGAAGTTTTCCGTTAAAGTATAATTAAAACTATTGATTAATGTATTGTCTAATCATGGACATACGTTTATGGAATTTACATGTTACTCAAACAAAATAATTAGAGACCGACCGAAATTTCGGTTTCGGTTTCGGCCAGTTTCGGCCAATAATTCTAGTTTCGGCATCAGTTTCGGTTTCGGCCACACCGAAACTCACTTTTCGTGAATTGTCGTGCGTCGCTCGGATAACTTCGCGGCTAATGGCGGTCGTTACTTGCCATCTCAGTTCGCTCATAGAAACTTAAATTAATATTATATTAAGTATCAAGTGACTAAACGGGGACTTTACTCACGAGATGGATTTTGTATCAAAAAAACCTGGAAAAACCGGCGATGTGTAGGTAGTAGTAGAAAAATATGTTTATGTAAATTAGTTTCGGTTTCGGTTTCGACCGAAACTGATTGCAGGGCCGAAATTTCGGTTTCGGTTTCGGCTAAAATCCAGTTTCGGTCGGACTCTAAAAATAATGTTAGCCATTTAATTATTTTATTATTGGTGTAAATGTTAATATTAATATGTAGTCAATAGCCAATAAAACAATAATAAATCATTGTAACGTATATTTCATCTAAGAAAATTTCATCTGTGGCTTGCTCACTGGACGGCAAGAAAAGGAAGTGGCACATATACGATCTTTTTACGAGCTCCGAAATGATTAACGAACAGTATCTTTATTTGCGCACCACTTACCTCCCTGTTCTTTTACGATGCGCCTAAAAGCAATAATTGGGCGATGGCACTTAGTTGAATATTTTATGCGTTCGTGTTTAACGATCGCAGAAATGTATCTGACAAATAATGGCAAAAAAACACATGGCGAGTTACAATTTGAGCAAGGTTAGTATTAGTAATCTATGAGATCTTTGACACCCTGCAAACAACGCCATTTATCCGGGAGGTAGAAGGGTTCGAAGACATGTGGAAATGGCGTGTCAAAGCCTGTCACTCTGCTTACTGGAGCTTCCAAGTGTAAGAAACAATCTTTCTGTAAATTATGAATACAATCATCACCTAAAGAATTATTTTAATATTTAATTGTCAAACCTGAATTGTTGCAGCAAGTTCTGCACCAAATCCGCCTGTCAAAGGTGCTTCATGAGCTATTAAAACTCTTCCGGTCTTTTTCACAGACTAAAAAATTGGTTAAAAAATGGTTTTAAAAGAAATTTGTAAGTTTTGCGATTGTACCTGACAAATAGTTTCCCTATCCCATGGTAAAATTGACACAAGATCAATAACTTCACATGAAATATTAAATTGTTCCTTTGCCATTTTGGCGACCTCCAGGAGCACATAAATCTGCGTCCCCCATCCGACCAGTGTAATCTGCGTGCCTGTAAATTCAATTTTCAGTGTTTTATTTGCAACAGACGGAACACGAATCCTACGGTAGTATCTTCTCTAATATCTATACAGTTCTTAGAATACCTTCGCGTAGGATGTCGGCTTTGCCCAACGGCAGGACGTAATCTCCGGTCGGGACCTCTTCCACCGCAGCGCGATACAACGTTTTTGGTTCGAGAACAAGGCAAGGATCCGGCTCCCGAACGCAAGCTAATAATAATCCCTTGGCTTTGATAGGTCCTCGAGGTACAACAACCTGAAGAAATTCATATTTAATCAATACATTTATAATATTTAGCAAGATAATTAATGATACCTTCATACCAGGCGTATGTGCAAAATAAGCTTCAGGGCTTTGCGAGTGATAAAGCGCGCCATGTCCGACTGCTCCGCATGGTGCTCGAACTGTCAGACTACCGCAATTAAATTGATTTCCGCTTCGGTACCGACATTTCGCCGCCTCGTTCACCAGCTGGAAAATGCACTCAAATTAATCCTGGTTCGTCTGCTGCAACTGCACTGAAGCAGGTTGCCAGGCGCATCTCAATACCGACCTGATCGAATGCCGGAAATATGTAATCCGCAAATTGAATTTCCGCTATTGCCGTGGCGCCCACATTCGCAACTCCAATTCCGAAACCGACGATGCCCTGCTCGCAAAGCGGCGTGTTAAATACACGATCTTTGCCGTATTTCGCCTGCAAGCCCATTGAACAACGAAATACACCACCGAAGGCGACATCCTCTCCGAACACCATTGCGGTCTCATCGGTTTTCAACGCAATATCCATCGCATTGTTTATGGCTTGAAACATATTCATCTTTTGCTTTTCACCTAAAATTAAATGCATATTCAAATTTACCGCTTGCATTTTAAGTTTAAGTAGGCAACTTGTTGTGTTTATTGCGCATGTGTAACTTACTTAATACAACAGCTGATTTATACATGCGCACGCACGTAAGCAGCAACCAATTGGCATGCTTCACATATCGTAGTGATTTTACTACTTAAGTAACTTAAAGTAAGTTATAGAAACTTTAATCCAAGGTACTTACCAGGAATATCACATTTCTCGTCGGGTTGGTAGTTGAAATGTGTCCTCTTTGCAAATAAATTGTATAGAATCCGTACATCCTGCGCTTTCCTACCGAGCAGCTCAAGTCGAACTTTATTCAAAGCCATTTTCTAGTGACTGAGGCCTAGCAACCGCGTCTAGATCGTCTCTCGTGAAAGCGACAACACTACCACACCACAACCAGCAGCACGTTACTTATCACCGTGTTTCTACTATATTACAACTGAACCGTTCGCGACCTTGCTCAGCGCACTCCGCAGTGCTACCAATTCGTGTTTAAATACATTAACATAATAACAAACTCATGCCGGTAATGAACCGGCAATTGAATAGAAATGTAAGCGAATAGAAGTGTAAATGAAACCAACCAGTGCATTTAAAACTTTTATTTAAATTAATTAATATAAAAATGACGTAGAATTAATTATTTTGAATCAATGATTCCCTTTAGTGTGCTCACCTGAAATAATTGATTTTTAACGATATTTTAATTGAACAAAATTGCAGACAATTGTTTACCTGATCCAGGAGAGCTTTTTCTTTAACAGCAGCTCTCTGTAAAAGAATCTTCACTTTTTCTAAAAGTTCCCCTTTATATTCTAATTGCTCTCGCACAGCGTTCAATTCCTCTCTGGCTGAACCGTCAAGTGCGTGTTGCTGTTGGGCTGCGTTTAATTCTTTTTCTAGACTTGTTACTTTGTCTACTTTTTCGTCGTACTGCTGTTTGAGGCGATTATATTCTCTTTTGAACCGATCTCCAGAATTCTACAATTGTCAAAAATGTATTTTTTATATTTATAAATTGCATTTCGTATTGTATTTCTTACCGTGCGATCAAATGTTGTACAGGATCGTGTATTACCATTCGCTAATCGTTTATTTTCCACTTGAAGTTTTTCTACTACTCTTTTCAGGACTAATACTGTACGTTCCAATTCAGAAATACGTTTTGTTTCTGTGGAAGCAGTATTACCACTAGTTGTAGAAACGGTTTGATCAACTTCCGAATTCTTGGATTTTAAGAGTTTTATATAACTAAAATATAGATTATATACTTTTGAATATTTATATTTATATGCTTTCTAAATGTTATAATTTATTTATTTTTGTTAATTACCGACTATTCCATTCTTCAAACACTAAATTCCATAAAGCAATCGCATTCATTATGTGCATTCGAAAGAAAACAAGTAGAAAGTTTATTAACAAATCTTTTAAAAGCAATAATTACGATGAACGAGTTACATATACATAGTATAAGCATGTGTGCACATAAAAATAAAGACGGAAAAGATTACTTTACTTTCACTCCGATTTTGTCTGCTAGAAGAACCTAATGAATTGATCTCGCAATCAAACCTGCTGAGTTCACAACTAACAACCAAACTGATCGTACGTGTATTATACGCGTGTGCAAAAAGAGTACTTACGTGCATACTCATTGTTAAACAATACCAAGAAGAAGATAAAACAATACAGTGTGTGTCATTACTTACTTTTCTAAATAGTTAATCTGTTCGCGAAGGTGAGGAACTTCATTGGTGGATTTTTCTAAGTCCAGACGCATATCAAGTGCTTCAGCTTCCAATCGAAGGTTTGCTTTCTGAAGAACTGCGTTTGTGTTTTGTACGCGTTCCATTTCGGCACGCATTTCGCCGCCGCCCTGTGGTGCCAAAGACAATGTTAGACAATTTTCTATTTACTCGCAGTGCAGAATAAAAATTGCAGTTTGGTTTTTGCTGCAGGTAGACATTCGCAAAATGCTCGTCCTCGTCGCAGCAGTGCTCATCGTAGTGATATATTTTTATTACAAAAATGCATTCGCATATTGGGAGCGTCGTGGTGTCCCTACACTGCAACCATCTTTCCCATTCGGTAACATGTTTCGCGTTGTGGTCCGCATGGAAAGCGTCAACGATAAAGTGTGCGAAATATACAACAAAATGAAAAGTGCAGGATATAAATACGCTGGAATATATTTCTTTTCACGTAAAGTATTCCTCGCAATTGATCCACAGTTAATAAAATGCATATTGGGTAAAGATTTTCGTCATTTCAACGACCGAGGTATTTACTACGATGAAGAAAATGATCCGGTTAGTGCACATTTATTCTCCTTGAGTGGACCGAAGTGGAAAACTCTACGAAGTAAATTAACACCGGCATTCACAGCTGGCAAAACAAAGTATATGTTTGATGCTATCAAAAGTTGCGGTGATGATATGGTACAACTCTTGGAAAATCTCATGAAACTAGATGAGGATATAGAAATAAAAGATATTCTCGCCCGGTTTACCACAGATGTAATTGGTTCATGTGCGTTTGGCATTGAGTGCAACAGTTTGACCAACCCAAACGCCGAATTCCGTGAAATGGGACGACGTGCTTTCACACAAACCCCGGGCGATGTATTTAAAATGGTCATCATTCGCAGTTTCCCGAAATTGGCGAAACTCTTAAAGCTAGGCGTATTTTCCCCACGAGTATCAAGATTCTTCCAACAAGTCGTAGAGGATACTGTTAACTTCAGAGAGCAGAATAATGTAACTCGGCCGGATTTTCTACAGCTGTTAATTCAAATGAGAGGTGATGCTTCATTAAACAATTTACACAATGATGGCAACAACCACGCAGACGAGACTTGCGGGGATGGATTAACGATGAACGAAATTGCGGCGCAGGCTTTCATATTCTTCCTGGCAGGCTTTGAAACGACTTCTACGACGATAAGCTTTGCTCTGCTGGAGATGGCATTAAACCCAAGCATTCAAGAACGCGCACGCAGCGAACTTGCAGATGTATTAAACAAACACGAGAATAAATTAACTTATGACGCTGTCGGGGAACTACAATTTCTGGAGACTGTTGTATTAGGTATTTAATTAACCTTCAGAGAGAATTAAACAAAGCATTGTTTAGCATCTGTTATATAGCTGCTTGTTATTTACAGAATCATTGCGTAAATATCCACCAGCTCCGGTCTTTCTACGCAAGTGCACTGAACGTTACCAAGTTCCCGGAACAAATGTGTATGTGGAAAAAGGCCTTTCAGCGCTTATTCCAGCAATGGCACTGCATCGCGATCCTGATTTCTATGAGAATCCAGAATGCTTTGATCCAGAACGCTTCAATGAAGCCAACCGTCACAAGATCAAGGAACACGTCTTTTTGCCTTTTGGAGACGGCCCGAGGATTTGCATAGGTAATACTATCACTATTCACGATATAAACGTAAAATATTATGACTGGTATCATTTTAGGAATGCGTTTTGCAATGGTTCAATCGAAACTTGCGCTTGCGCAGTTTCTGCAACATTATTGCTTTACTCTAAGTGAGAAGACGCAATTACCGTTGAAAATGGAAACAAAGGGAATTGTGCTAACTCCCATCGGTGGCATATGGTTGAAATTTCCAAAAAGTTCGCTTTAAAGTTGTATTAAACAAATATAAACTGTGCTTACCTTTGCAGACATTTCTAGAATTGCAATTTTTCTTTCTTGCGCTTCGAGTTTATCCTGCAACATGGCAGCGCTAAGCGCACCAGAATGATTCTGCTGCTGTTCGAGCTTTACTCTCAGAGTGCTAATTTCCGCTGTGAGTTTAAGGTTTTCCGCTTCCAGCGCCGAATATATTGCAAGACCACTGCCATCCACTGCACTTGTCGTCACGTTTCCTTTGAGATTTTTAACTCGTACTTCCAGATTGTGTTTCTCTCGTTCCAGACGTTCAATAAGCATCCGATAACTGGAGCAGGTCTGTTGTATTTTTTCGCATTCTTCGGTTTTCTCCCTCAGTTTGGCCTTGGTCTTTTCAGCCGTCTGCTGCCAGTACTTGAATTTGCTCCATTTATCGAAGTCTGCCGTGACTTTGGTCTTGTGCGCCTCGTTGAGGGCGACTTCTCGCTCTAGTTTCTCGCGGAGTTCACTGACTTCCTTTTCTAGGGATTGATTTTTCTTAGTCAATTGCTGTTCTTTAGTGGGGTTTGTATCGCTGCGTGCTGACATCGCAGGCCGCTTCATCAACTGCCCTTTAAGATTGCGAATCTCTTCGCGTGCGGACTTCTCACGCCCCAGCAGCTGTTCGCAACGATTTTTTAATACTTCCTGTTCGCGCAAAAAGTTCTCCTTTATTTCTGCGAAATTTTCTTCACTACGCACGCTTGTAACGGGTTGACTGCTTGATTTTCTGCGCAATTCCGTCTAAATAAAACAAAACGAAACAAAAAACAGTTTCATTACAACCCAAGTCATTAAACAAACCTTTAGTTGTCGCATCGTAATCAACAACTCATGTATTTTATTGTCTTTGTCTTTGAGTTCCTTTTCGATGTTTGGCCGGAGATCTACAAAGTCTTTCTTGTATGCGTTAATGTACAGTTGTAAAGTTTTCACTTCGCTACGCCATTTTTCGCACTCTCCTTTGTATGCTTCGAGCTCATTTTTATGTTGCTCTTCCAGTCTGAAAGAAGACAACGGTTTGAGTACGCTTTTATGTAGTCGAAAGTAATAGATAAACATTTACTGGACTCGTAATTCGTCGACGCTCTGCAGCCTGTCGTTCGAGAGCGTTTTCCAACGAACGCATTCCTCTCGGCTGGCTTGCAACTGTGTGCTGAGAGTACTCACGGATGTTTGCAGTTCCGTCGTCAGCTTTTCCAAAGCATGGACCTGCTGAATATAATATTCCACTGCGGCACGCGCTGGCTTTCCTTGTTTCCTACGCGAAAATATTTTCACAATGATAAAAATTAGATCTCTGCGAGCATTACTTACGCTTCCGAAATGTGCTCTTGTTGTTGTTGTAAAAGTTGCGCCTGTAACTGTTTCAATTCCTCTTGAAATCTTGCTGCAGCTAAGCTGTGTTCATCGCGATCATTTTTCAGCAACGATTGTAGTTCAAAAATAATACGCTCTTTTTCTACCACGGTTTGTTGAAGTTGATCAATGTTGGACGTTTCTTTTGCTTCTAATTTGTTCTGTTGCATTTCTAGAATGTGTTTTTCGTAGAAACTAATCTGGCTTTGCTTGTCGCCCATTTGTTGTCTTAGTAAACTAATACACATTTCAAGTTCTAAATTTTTTTGCTTCAAGCGTTGCAATTCATCGCAACGCGCACGAATTTCATCATCCTTTTTTTGTATTTCCGCTTGAAGACGATTACATGTTTGTTGACAATCTTTCTCTTCCTTCTCAAATGATGCTGATGTTGAGTTTAAGTTAAAAGACGTTTGGGTATGCGCGTGTTGTGTATCAATGCTTTTCATTACAGGTGTAATTTCGATAACATTCGCCGGCGTCGTTCTCAATTGCGTCGAACGCGACCGGAAAGCATTGCTCGGTTCGTTCGCTTCCATCTGGTATTGCGTTTCGCTGCTCTCGCGTAAGCACAACGTCTGCAGCAGTTCGGCCTCCAGCTGTGCAATTTGCTCCTCCTGATCCTGCAAACGCACGGTGGCATGCTTCAATTGCGCCTCCTTAAATTCAGCCTGCCGGCGACATCGCAATTCCTGCAAGAAGAAAATCGATTCAATTGCACCATGATTATGCATTTGTCTCATTTGTGTTGGGACAACACACTCATACCTGCAGCTGCACATTCGTTTTATCCAAGAACCACTTTTCCAGTGCTCTCGCCTGCGCATCTCCATCCCTTATCAATTGATTGAGTTCGTTCAGCACGTCCGTCTTCGACTCCAATATCTCTTTTATCAGCCGACAATCGAATTCGATTTGCTCGGTACGCTCCATTGTCTCGTAAACGAGTTTCTTTTCTTTCACAATGTCCCTAATCTTGGAAACTAAATTTTCTTGTGATGTATAAGGCACATAGCCTAGATAATGATTTCGTTGTTGTTTTATTATTGATTCCAAATGGCTAAAATGGGTGAATTATGAATTTTTAAAATCTGTAGCTTATTTTTTTTATTTAGTAGCTCAAAACGTAACGCTCCCGGCATCTAGTGAACAAGTTTTAAACCTAAAGCGTTACAGAAAGCTAAATGTAGGGGACGGGCATAAAAGTTCTCATACAGCTTTATAACGGTTTGGATAAAATAGCGGCATGTACCTGCCTCGACCTTCCTTGTTTAGGGGAGCGGAATGCACCTATGAGCGTTTAGTGAGGTCATTCATGCTGGCACCTATATAATTCCCGCACCCATTGCTAAATGCATTCGAGTGCAATTTTTGGAGGGCCTCTTTACTTCACAGAGGCTTCATACAAACCAATAAAAAACATAAACAGAAATTACCTATTTTTTCGACGTAATGTTTCGATTGTACTCTTGAAATTTCCATTGCCCTTTAACAAACTAGAAATTTTCTGGTTCATTTCCTGTTTGCAGTCGGTTAATTCCGTGACCATTTCGTCGAGCTTATTCCGAACCTCAGTCTCGGCCATACGTGCCATCACCACATCAGTAGACAAACGAGCGATCACAGCCTTGTCGTCGCCTGTTGCTTGCAAATCGACAACCTGATGGCGCAAACTGTGGCATTCGTATTGATCCAGGTTGGACCAAAGCGTGCGTGTGGCCATGTCCTTTCGCAATACGTTCAACTCATCCTGCAACGCGCTAACATTGCCTGCATGACGCTGGCATTCATCAACAAGTCGATCACGCTCTGCTTGCGCAGCATGGAACAACGCTCCATCCACATAGTGCACAACTTTGTCTTCGAGAATTTTCACGCTCTCTTGCAGCGAGAGATTTTTCTGCATTAGTTCTCCATTGTATTTTTGATACTCTTGATGGCGTTCCTCTGATTTTGCCAATTGTTCTTTTACTAATTCGTATAAACTGTTTGTGTGATTAGCGCGTTGCCGTTCTGTGGTTTCGTTTATTTCTGATTGAGCTAAACGTTTTTGCAACTCTCCAATATCACTAACACCGTTTATTTGAGATTTCACTTCTAGTAATGTCTTCGATAATTCCTCTTTTTCACTTTCTAACAATACAACTTGTTTTTTCAATATTTCTACTTCATTATTTGTCACAACAGATACATCTTCAATTGTTCGCTGCAATTCACGTTGCTTTATCAACATAGCATCATAATCATTCTGTAGCTTGATTACGTCATCCGGAAAAATAAACTTTTCATTTGCAGCCAGTTCTAATTTTTCAATATGTTGTGTTAATTCCATATTAACTTCTTTCCACTTATTTACTTTTCTGGAACACTGTTGGGTTTCTTCAAGCAACTGATTTTTTAATTTATTAATTTCATTTTTATAACGCATCTCCAAATTATCCATGTGTAGCATTTTACGATTCATGATGACTAGTTTTGCTGATGCCTCTACAGCTGCTTTAATTTTCACTTCATCTTCTGTTTCCGGATCAGTGAGAAGTTTGATAGTTGCTAGTTGTTCTTCCATTGCTGCATTCGAAGCGATTAATTCTTTCATTTTATCTTCACTCGCCAATAAATCGTCTTCCCACTTAGTTTTTTCATCATTGTATTGATTATACAAAACACCAACTTGTTCCTGAACAAGTAAAAACTCTTTTTTATACGTCTCGAGTTTCTCAACAAGTTTTACATTGGTTTCATCATCAACTCCGTAATTCTTTAAAACGTTTATGAGATGATTGTTAAGATTAGCTATTGCAGCAGCATTTGATGAATCTAATTGATTATCAATTGTTATCAAATGCAAAGCTCTTTCTTTATAATTATCCAAATCTTCCCTAAAATATTTTTTTGTGAAATAAATTGATATAAATTATAATTATTATACCTGGCTATACGTAATTGATCTCTAAGGGTAGTATTGCTTCCCTGCAGGGAATGAACTTCTGCTTGCAGACGCATTGCCGGATGATACCAACCGGAAACATGCTTTGCGTCAAGTGCTCTCAACAGGGAGACCAGCGTTTCCGATTTGATTTCCCTCGGCGAGGTTTCTAAGCAATTGAAAATATAATTTATAGGTTTACAACTCATCATTCACGATTATCCTTATCATACCTTGCTGTGTTTGAATACTATCAAGAATTTCATGTAAACCTTTTCTCAGAGCATCATTTTCTTCTAAAAGTGCATTGTATTCCGATTTAGTTGCATCAGCCATTTGTACATTTTGTTCTTCAGTTTGTTTAGTGCGTAAATTAGAAACATTTATTTCTTGACCATCTACAACCGGTGTTTCACCTAAATCTAGTAACTGATCACTTAAATTCGAAATAATTTTAGATAACTTTTGAACTTCCACACGATATTGAAGTTTTTCTTCTTCGCTTATATCCAGTTTATGTTTAAGTTCATCAAATAGTTTCTTATTACGTTTTTGTTGCGTATTAACACATTTCGTACTTATAAAATCATCTTCTGTAAGTCCTAATCGGTCCCTGGATGTAAAGCATGATAAATATAGTAAAATGTTTTGTTATTACAAGTTTTTTTTACCTTAAAGTGGCATTTTCTCTTTCAACATTATCTGACACACTCCTGAGTTTATTATAACTTCTTACCAAGTCAGATAACTTCTTTTCGTTTGTTCTTTTCTCTGATTTGATTGTTTCTATTTCTTCTGAGAGTTTTTGCACATTAGGATCTTCAATTTTTTGTATCAACTCGTTAATCTAAAACACATTTATGTCAGTGTCTTTTTTTTCTTCTAACATAACTAAATTTACGTCATTTTCTTTATCTTTCAATAGTTTGGTTTGATATTGAATGTCTTCTCCCAATTCTTGACTACGTTGATGAGCAGCCCTTAGTTGTTTCTTCAAGTCTCTGCTCATGACATTTATCTTTTCACACTTTTTATTGTACATGTCTCTTTCTTTTGTGACTTGTTTCAGAACTTGAGTTGACTTCAACATATCTTTTGTGGCCTTTTCAAGTTGCTTCTGTAAGCGTATTATGTTTTCTTCGCGTTCTGCTAGAGCTTTTTGTAACAAACCAAGTTGAGTTTCATCTACAGGCAGCAAACTCGTTGAACTTTTCGAACTGGATGGGCGTGTGGGAGAAGTTTGATTAGTTTTCGACTTTAATTGATTAATTTCTTTGTTTTTTGTTTCAAGCACTCGCTGCAAAATGTAGACAATGTTAATTAAACAAATAACACCGGAAGAAATAAAAATGAATGATCTACCTTCCAATCTTCTATGCGCGTATCAATTTCATTTGCAAACTGATCAAACTCTATCTCCCTGGATTTTTTTTCTTCGAGTAACTTTTCGATTTGTTCTTTGTAACTGCTGTTTGCTAATTGCATTTTTAAATAAGATTCTTTTGTTTCATCAATTTGTACTTGAAGTAATTTATTATCGTCTACCAAAGAATCTATTTTGTCTGTTGCATCAGAAAGATCATCCCGTAATGAAGACAATTGCGCACGTAGTTGTAAATTATCACTTTCTACATTCTAAAATAACAACAAAGAAATAATCTATTAAATTTAATAAAAAATTTTTATAAATACTTCTATATCTGTTAAAAGTTGAGATATTTGAGTGTTTTTCTGTTGTACATTCTCCATTAAATTTCTTTGTTGATCTATGACTGTTTCTGAAATATCGGAAGCACTATCATCTCTCTGGTGAACATTACGTAATTCTTTTTGTAAATATACTCTTTCTTGTTCCAACATTTTTATTTTCTCTTTTAACTGTTCGTTTTCATCTTTGTTTGATTCTACATGTTTTTGTAGTTTACGATATTTGGTTTTAAGTTCACGATATCTCATATCTTGTGCTGTAAATAAACCAACGTAATATTTAGATTTATAATTAATTCAAATATAATCACCATCACTATCTAATGACTTCCTAGATCGACTGCTTCTATCATCAGATTCGCGTGTTTTGGCTTCCTCTTCTGCTTGCTTCACGGCCATCTCATCTAATTCGGCGAGGAGCGCTTCAACTTGCTCCGACTTGTATTTCATTATCTCTTGACATAAACGTAAAAGTGCTGCGTGTTTTTTCGCATCGACTTTTTCGTTAGTGAAATCGTACCAGCCAATTGTATTGAGTAACTCATCTTTTTTGCTTTCTTCTAATTCATCGGCATTTTGGGCCATAGATAATATATATTTCCAATCCATATTGCTGTTTTAGTACAATTATATTATTACAAAATTCTCTAGTCAGAGGTTGATCATGCACTGACAGTGTGTTTGTATTCAACGATACATTCAAACAACGGGGTGAGTAATCGTTGCGGAGCAACTTGTTTGTTCGATACAAACAATATTTTTACACCTTCTTACTAGATGCGCTTTATAAATAATTAATCGGAAAATTGAAAAGGATATATAAATGTTAATAAGTTTGTTCTTTAAGATATAAAATATTTACGACTTGTGCGCTTTATTCATACATAAACAAAGAGGATAACATTTAATATTTAACTTCGGTTGCCTGAAAATTGAACAATCACAATTACATAAGTTGTGGTTAAATTAACAAATATAAACAACATTGACAAATCAACTTTAAAAAAGCCTGCGGCTGAGAAACACGGAAATTTAGCTATAGATTGTTGTGTGAAAGAATAAATCTTATCGCGCATCGAAGTAAAATCGCTAAATCGATGTAAAGCTGAATATGCGATACTTATAGTTTTTCCTCCTTCCCCAACAACTTTTTCGCATATTATAGCCATAATCACAGTTTGTACCTAAAAATTAAACAAGTTAATTGATTAAATGTACTTTTGTCTATTTTTTACTTACTACAGAATACAGCATCCATACTGATACAAAATATAACGATACTATTTGTTCTGAAATATTGTCTATGTTTAACAATAATATACAAAACCGTAGGACGTAAATCAAAGTTTGTACTATGGATATTAACAGGTTCCATCCATAAGTTTTATTGAAAGCATCAATTAGATCTCCAATTTGACATTGTATCAAAAATGCGCTATCAAATTTGTTGATATTTTTACTAGGATTTGATTTAAGAAGCAGTTCTGATAACATTGAATTAAAAACCTTCATCCGTTTCCAAATAGCAATTACTAAAATTATTTTAAATGTTTCGTTTAATTGCAAAATATAAAAGCAAAAGGCATCTCCCAAATGATACAGAATTATATCAGTAATAGTAAAACTTGCACCCAATACCACATAATCCGCCGTTTGGAAAAACATAAATCCAATCGTTGAAAAAACAAACCATTTAATCAAGTTAATTGATTTAGGTTGATCATCTTTTAGATTATGTACTGTTTGTAGTTCCACATCAATTTTATCGAATGTATCTATTAGTGCTTGGAGACTATCTCGCAGAGTGAAATTAAGCGAAACAGCGGTTTGTGTAATAAGTATTATGTCTCCGATTGGTTGAAGAACAACTTGAACTAACATTATTTTGGCGTGAGGTACTTCCATGATTGTACTAATGGTATCCATTGCTTGAGCGACGAATACCACCGAAAGAACAACTATGGGAATTGGTGGAATTGGTCGAAATCGTTTCGTCTTTTTGTTGTAAAAAGGTATAAGTCCTAAAACAGCACACGCTCGAAAGTACACGATGATATTTTCCGACAGCATGATGAAAGCTACCGTCTGAATATAACTGAGTAGAAAGTATTTCAATAATTAGTTATTGGATGAAAACTAATTAATTTCAACAGAACATGCATCTACAAAGCAATAAATAAGCAAGAAAATTAATCAAGTATAGTGTCATGTTTTATGAATATAAATACTAATCAATAGTAGGTCTTATGAATATAAATAAATAAATGAATAAACAATTTATACACAACTTGACATTTTGCTGATCTGTCTTTACAAGCTCAATGTTCTGTTATATTAAATACAGCGGTAAAATTAATAATAAATTATACCGCCAGTTATAAAATTTATTATTTTCTTTATTGCAGAAATTCTTCCCGTGCGGCCATCTCGTATTGAGAAATTTTCAAAGATTTTTACGCGGAGGAAGACTCAATTTCAAACATTCGAGGATACTATAGAAGGCGATGCTGATGCCCCAATCTCTCTGAATAAATTAACCAGCCAGTTAGCTCTGGAAAAATCTTTACAATTGATTAGCAAATTGCGCTCGCAGCAAGTTGACGTCAAATCTTGCCTATCCGAGAACATAAATCACCCCGAAACAATAAATTTCGTTGCTGAACCTTCTCCTCCGTTGAAATCTGGGGAACGTCATTCGTCATTTACGAAAATATCTTCCTTTAGTACAACACCAAGCAGTTTTAAAAGTGTTCGTAGGAACCAACGATTTGCTGAAGGAAAGCCTCAAGTGCTAAGACGCAGTCGACTAAGTCTTGACGAGCCGAACATTACTTTTATGATCAATCCAAATTGCTTCGTTCAGATTATGATTGATTACATATATGAACAACTTAATATCGATAAAACAGGTAGTACTTCTTAATTTGGATTAGAAAATTAGTGTTTCTTTAATTTTATTTATTTTTGAAGTGTCCGGAATTAATTTAGATTTGTGTGACATAGAGGGCAACATGATGAAATTGTTTTCTTACGAGAAACATGAATCTGGCAAAAATATATTGGAAGATCGTAAAACATACTACGTTGTTCAATATAAACGTAAGTAATATACGGCACCCTATATATACGAGTATATATAATTATTATATGTATATATATATATATAGTTTTTTGATTAATTAAGTTTTTAGTTAATGATGATGGTTCATTTAGTTCAATTGAGCCCATGTTTCATAACACAAATAAAGAAGAACTAGAATTAGTAATAAAAGTAAATAAAAACATTAAAAAGCAAATGGGTTCGGTAAGAAATGGTAAATTAACAATTTTTTATAGATATAACATTTAATTTGATTTGCAGAGACAAGCTTCTCATTCTGCCAGTGTGAAATCAGAAATAAGGCGTAAAGAATTTCTGACACATAGTGCTAAAAGATTTTCAACCAAATAAAATACTTTGTTTACTAAAAAATATTTAAAATTTACTATGGAGTGAACAACACTCTGCATCTTGTATCAGTTTCTACAAACAAACAAGTTTTCTTATCTCTTGCAATTTTTATGCGGTCGCCACGCGGTTGGCTTGCGTACCGCGTCAGTGTTATTTTTGTTGTCAGGTGATCAGCACGTACATTTACCTGACAATAATTTGAGTTTCTTAATTTATCTTATTACGTTATTACGTAGTGTTGTTTCTCAATGCTCTTTCGATTGTGCGCGAGTGATGTGCGGCGTTCGTTAAACACGGATTGTGCATACGCAGAGGTATAGCATGAGTGATATTTAGTTGGCCGTCGGATACTCTTTTTGTATTATACGCGTATTTCATCGTTTCTACAATGAGCCTAATTAAGGTCCTTATAACCTAGTTATACCCAAAGCGCAAATGTTAATTTTGCATCAAGGCATGTGATCGCATTTCTTCAACAATATGAAAATCAAATCTGTTATTGAATTTACTTGTGCTTTACTGCGACCGCGTGGCCTTAAGTATAAAAATAATTGTTGTTTTTGTTGCAATACCCACCGTTGATTAGCAATACGAATTCGATACATTGTTTCGTTTTCGTTTAATGAACGAATTAAAAAGATTAAGAATTAAAGAGTAATAATGTAGTACCACTAGCCTACGACTAAGTCCTGGGGGACAAAGATCGATGACAACCTTGGGCAGAAGAATGTAAGTATTAAATGACTTTATCAGTTTCCTAAATAACATTTGTGATAATATCACAAATTGACCCCCAAAATTGCATTTTTATGTTCGATGGACTAATTTTTGCTGGTTTTAGGGATTTTGCACCTAAGTCTGACATCGATCAAGGACCATTCATGGATTAGAATGTTAGTATTTAATTTCTTAATCATTCTTCTTAATAACTTTTGTGATTATCTCACTAATTAACTCCTAAAATTGCATTTGTATGTTCAAAGTACTAATTTTTGCTAGATTTAGGGATTTCGCACCTAAGTCTAACATCGTAGAAGGACCACAGTTGGTGTGTATTAAATTTCTCTATTATTTTCTTAAATAATTTTTGTGATTGCCTCACAAATTAACCCCAAAATTGCATTTTTATGTTCGAAGGACTAATTTTTGATGGTTTTAAGGATTTTGCACCTGAGTCTGACAACGTAGAAGAATCATTCTTGCATCAGAATGTAAGTACTAAAAATCTTTATCATCTTCCTAATTAACTTTTGTGATTATCTCATAAATTGACCCCCCAAAATTGCATTTTTAGGTTCAAATGACTAATTTTTGATGGTTTTAGGGATTTTGCATATGAGTCAGAAATCGTAGAAGGACCATTCTTGCATCAGAATGTAAGTATTGAAATTTTTTATCATTTTCCCAATTAACTTTTGTGAATATCTTACAAATTGACTCCCAAATTAGCATTTTTATGTTCGATGGATTAATTTTTGATGGTTTTACGGATTTTGCACCTGAGTCTGACATCGTAGAAGGACCATTCTTGCATCAGAATGTAAGTACTAAAATTTTTTATCATCTTCCTAATTAACTTTTGTGATTAGCTCACAAATTGACCCCTAAAATTGCATTTTTATGTTCGAAGGACTAATTTTAATTTTTGATGGTTTTAAGTACTTTGCATATGAGTCAGAAATCATAGAAGGACCATTCTTGTGTCAGAATGTAAGTATTAAAATTCTTTATCATTTTCATAATTAACTTTTGTGATTAACTCACAAATTGACCCCCAAAATTAAATTTTTATGTTCGAAGGTCTAATTTTTGATGCTTTTAGGGATTTTGCACATGAGTCTGACATCGTAGAAAAACCATTCTTGCCTTAGAATGTAAGTATTAAATTTCTTTATCATTTTCCTAATTAACTTTTGTGATTGTCTTACAAATTGACCCCCAAAATTGCATTTTTATGTTCGAGGGACTAATTTTTTATGGTTTTAGGGATTTTGCATATGAGTCAGAAATCGTAGAAGGACCGTTCTTGCGTCAGAATGTAAGTATTAATATTCTTTATCATTTTCCTAATTAACTTTTGTGATTATCTCAAAAATTGACCCCCAACATTGCATTTTTTTGTTCGAGGGACTAATTTTTGATGGTTCTAGGGATTTTGCATCTGAGTCAGAAATCGTAGAAGGACCGTTCTTATCTCAGAATATAAGTATTGAAATTCTTTATTATTTTCTTAAATAACTTTTGTGATTATTTAACAAATTGACCCCTAAAATTGCAGTTTTATGTTCGAAGGACTAATTTTTGATTGTTTTAAGGATTTTGCACCTGAGTCTGACATCGTAGAAGGACCATTCTTACATCAGAATGTAAGTATTAAATTTCTTTATCATTTTCCTAATTAACTTTTGTGATTGTCTTACAAATTGACCCCCAAAATTGCATTTTTATGTTCGAGGGACTAATTTTTTATGGTTTTAAGGATTTTGCATATGAGTCAGAAATCGTAGAAGGACCGTTCTCGCGTCAGAATGTAAGTATTGAAATTCTTTATCATATTCCTGATTAACTTTTGTGATTATCTCACAAATTGACCCTCAAAATTGCATTTTTATGTTCGAGTGACTAATTTTTGATGGTTTTAGGGATTTTGGATATGAGTCAGAAATCGTAGAAGGACCATTTTTGCGTCAGAATGTAAGTATTGAAATTCTTTATCATATTCTTAATTAGCATTTGTGATTATCTCACAAATTGACCCTCAAAATTGCATTTTTATGTTCGAGGGACTAATTTTTGCTTGTTTTAGGGATTTTGCATATAAGTCAGAAATCCTAGAAGGACCGTTCTTGTATCAGAATGTAAGTATTGAAATTCTTTATTATATTCTTAATTAGCATTTGTGATTATCTCACAAATTGACCCTCAAAATTGCATTTTTATGTTCGAGGGACTAATTTTTGCTTGTTTTAGGGATTTTGCACCTGAGTCTGACATCGTAGAAGGACTATTCTTGTGTTAGATTGTAAGTAATTCATTCCTTTATCATTTCCCTAAATAACTTTTATGATTATCGTACAAATTGACCCCCAAAATTGCATTTTTATGTTCGAAGGACTAATTTTTGCTTGTTTTAGGGATTTTGCACCTGAGTCTGACATCGTAGAAGGACCATTCTAGTGTCAGATTGTAAGTAATTCATTCCTTTATCATTTTCCTAAATAACTTTTATGATTATCGTACAAATTGACCCCCAAAATTGCATTTTTATGTTCGAAGGACTAATTTTTGCTTGTTTTAGGGATTTTGCACCTGAGTCTGACATCGTAGAAGGACCATTCTAGTGTCAGATTGTAAGTAATTCATTCCTTTATCATTTTCCTAAATAACTTTTATGATTATCGTACAAATTGATCTCCAAAATTGCATTTTTATGTTCGAAGGACTAATTTTTGTTTGTTTTAGGGATTTTGCACCTGAGTCTGACATCGTAGAAGGACCATTCTAGTGTCAGATTGTAAGTAATTCATTCCTTTATCATTTCCCTAAATAACTTTTATGATTATCGTACAAATTGACCCCCAAAATTGCATTTTTATGTTCGAAGGACTAATTTTTGCTTGTTTTAGGGATTCTGCACCTGAGTCTGACATCGTAGAAGGACTATTCTTGTGTTAGATTGTAAGTAATTCATTCCTTTATCATTTCCCTAAATAACTTTTATGATTATCGTACAAATTGACCCCCAAAATTGCATTTTTATGTTCGAAGGACTAATTTTTGCTTGTTTTAGGGATTTTGCACCTGAGTCTGACATCGTAGAAGGACTATTCTTGTGTTAGATTGTAAGTAATTCATTCCTTTATCATTTTCCTAATTAACTTATGTGTTTATCTCATAAATTGACCCCCAAAATTGCATTTTTATGTTCGAAGGACTAATTTTTGCTTGTTTTAGGGATTTTGCACCTGAGTCTGACATCGTAGAAGGACTATTCTTGTGTTAGATTGTAAGTAATTCATTCCTTTATCATTTTCCTAAATAACTTTTGTGATTATCGTACAAATTGATCCCCAAAATTGCATTTTTATGTTGGAAGGACTAATTTTTGCTTGTTTTAGGGATTTTGCACCTGAGTCTGACATCGTAGATGGACCATTCTTGCATCAGATTGTTATTATTAAATTTCATTATCTTTAATAACTTTTGTGATTATTACACAAATTGACTCCCAAAATGTATGCTTGTGTGTTTTCTTTAATAAAGAATATTTTTTAGTTTTTCCTAATTATAATTATTTCTTATTTCTGCAATCACATATTTAACGATTCCTTAAACCATTTTATTTTTGAAAAGTGCATACTTTAGTGCCATCCTCGGTTAGAAACTACAACAACCGAAGTTTTGAGCTTCGGTTCGTCGCCACCAGAGGCAACACATTACTAGTTGCGCGAAACTTTATCAACCTCCTCAACTTTCTGCGATCCTAATATTCAATCTTTACATTTTTATTGTCGACTCTGAGGGAGGCAAAGATGACACAAACGGACTCGAAACAGTCGAAACTCGACTTTTAGTATTCGGATCGCAGAAGGTGAGGGAGAACTTTGATAAACGATAACAATGAAACGAGGAAAAAGTAATGTTTAAAATCTTCTTTCAGCAAATTCTACTGGCTTCTGTATATTCGGAATTTTTAAATTTTGTGTTCGGATTCTGTTGCTTAATAATTTCCTATGTCGACTTTTATGTAATTACTTTCTTAACATTGATCGTTTTAGGCCCTATTTGCATGTTTTTAATAAATTGTTTTACGTACCAATAGGGCCTTAATCACTAAGTGTGTTACTGGTTTCCGATTCAAATTTAACCTAATTTCAGATCCGAAACAGAATTTAAAAATTTAGTATTACAGAACCTGCATTTGCCGAAAAGATTTCGTCATAAAAGGCCAAAACATTTTTTCTTTTTATGTTGTATATTAAATATTAGATTTTAAATTCTGATTTCCAGTTCTGATAGACAATTTAATTCTATATCAATTATTCTGGTAAAATATTTTGCTAGCATTAACGGTTTTAGGCCTATTTGCAATTTTATTGAAAAAATTGAATATATTACCGAAACAAATTAAAATAATACATATAATAATTTGGCGGGAACTGTCTGTCCACTTTCTGCGTTCTAATACTGGGCTGATGAACGCAACATTTCAACAAATTTCCCGACAAATTTTTGTCGAAAATCCATGAAATCGGTGACGAAATTCTTTTTTGAATATTGGGATCGCAGAAGTTGGGAGGCTGAATCTCCAGCAATCTTGAATAGCGGCGTAGTTTAGTTACTCGTGGATAGGCACTAGTGATACCATTTTAAATTAATATTGATACAAATTGACTTTGAATTATTTCCCCACATACTTAATAGTGGCATTACCATTTTAAGTTTAAAAGAATTTATGGATTAATTAAAGGGTAACGATGTTGCGAGTTATGTTCTCAGTTTGGGACAAATAAAATAATAAAATTTATAGTTAAAAATATAAAACAACAATTTTTATTCAAACGGGTAGAATCACAAACTCAATTTCTCAATATATACAGCATTTTTAAAAATACATACATAAAACAGGATAATACACATTTACCATGACCTACTCTTTTATAACTATTAACAAAATAAACAAAATGAAATCAATAACAACTTCGAATTGTTGTAAATTCATTCAATCGTATTTAGGTATCATCAACACCGGCAATCAATCTTTAATTTCTCGGACTATATAATCAGAATGAATAACAAAACAGTAAAATATCAATATTATAAATTGCAAAATATAACTTACCTGCATTCTGGGTATTTTAGTCTAGTTGACACATCCATCTTCAGTAATCAAAACTTCATCCTCAAAACGCACTCTACCTGTACAACGGAACCTTTCAGTTGGTCCTGTGATAAAACTAGGCCATCTCAGGATTGCCAATGCTTCATCAACAACTGGAAAATAATTATGTAAATGAAATATAGATATACATAAATTAAATTAATTATTCTTACAGGATCCATAAAGACTCCCATTTAGAGCAGCATTACGAAAGATAGCGGTAAAAGAGAGTGACTCCCATTCAAAGCACCGTAGAAGAGTAGCGTTAACTGTTTATGTAAATGTTAATGCAGAACTCATCGGACTCCATGGTACAGCGAATACTGTAAAAAACGTAAGTTAAAAATAACTTACATAAGTATGTATAAATATAATATATAAGTATTGAGTATATATAAACCTCGCAATAAATTTCAATACAGAATGCAAGAATTAAATTCTCACATCTGGGAAAATTAGTCCAAACTTATTGTGACACCGCGCTCGCGAAAGTTATATCAGTAAAACTACAATTCCAAGCGCAACGGTACCAGTGCGTATACACAACTTTCAATACAACTCGCAATACGGAATTTTCTCGAAATAAATTTCAATACCGTGTGATTCAGAATTAAATTCCGCATCAGGAAAGTATTCCAAACTTATTCAGCACCGTTCCCGATGGCAAAAAGTGCTAAAACGTGACACTTTTCAATTTTGCCTATTTTCTTCAATCGCAAATATCTCGTAAACTAAAAAGAAATAAATAAGATCTGATCGCAACTTCTTAATTTACGAGACTATTCTCTATCTGATAAGGAATGATCTGATAGAAGGACAAATCTGGAGATGAAATTTTCATTCTTAAGAAAAATTTGCCAAGAGTTGCTTGTACTTTTTTCGACGATTTTGAAAATTCATATCTCTTAAACTAAAAGCCACAGCAACCAACAAATTGCTGATTGGAAATGGAATTAGAAAATTCTGGATCAGATAAAAATATAAAAAATAATTATATTTCCTAAAGTAAGGTCGAAAAACGCATTAAAAGTGCTAAAAATGTGACATTTTCAATTTTGCCCATTTTATTCAAACACTTGAATATCTCGTAAACTAAAAGAGATAATTAAGATCTGATCGCAGCGTCTTAATGTACGGACCAAATATATCGGAATACAATAGTTAAAAGGCAAATCTGGAGATGAAATTTTCATTCTTAAGAAAAAATTGCCGGGGAGGGGTGCTTGATACTTTTTCGACGATTTTGAAAATTCATATCTCTTAAACTAAAAACCACAGCAACCAACAAATTGCTGATTATGATAGGTGGGAAATTCTCTATCAGAAAAAAATATAAAAATAATTATATATCGTACAGTAAAGGTCGAAAAACGCGATAAGGAACACAAAAGTGACATTTTTTTCAATTTTTGCCCATTTTATTCAAACGCGGTATCTCGTAAACTAAAAGAATGAGTAAGATCTGATCGCAGCTTCTTAATGTACGGACCAATCTCTATCGAATACAATAGTTAAAGGCAAATCTGGAGATGAAATTTTCATTCTTAAGAAAAAATTGATGCCAAGGGGGTGCTTGATACTTTTCGACGATTTTCAATAATTATATCTCTTAAACTAAAAGCGATATCAACCAACAAATTGCAGATTATGAAGATTGAAAAATTCTGTATCCAGATAAAAGTGTAAAATAATTATATTTCCCTAAAGTAAAAGGTCGAAAAACACTTAGTAAAGTGCGCACAAAAGTGACATTTTTCCAATTTTTGCCCATTTTACATTCAAATGCGAATATCTCGTAAACTAAAAGAGATAATTAAGATCTGATCGCAGCGTTTTAATGTACGGACCAATCTCTATCAGATACAATAGATAAAGGCAAATCTGGGGAGATGAAATTTTCGTACTTAGAAAAATTGCCTTAAGGGGGGTGCTTGATACTTTTTCGACGATTTTTGAAAATTCATATCTCTTAAACTAAAAGCAGCAACCAACAAATTGCTAGGTATGATAGATTGGAAAATTCTGTATCAGATAAAATATAAAATAATTATATTTCTACAGTAAAAGCTCGAAAAACGCAGTAAAGTGCTAAATGTGACATTTTCAATTTTTGCCCATTTTATTCAAATGCGATATCTCGTAAATTAAAGAATGAGTAAGATGTCTGATCGCATAGCAATGTACGGACCAATCTCTATCAGATACAATAGTTAAAGGCAAATTTGGGAGATGAAATTTCATTCTTAAGAAAAAATTGCCAAGGGGGGGTGCTTGATACTTTTTTTCGACGATTTTTGAAAATTCATATCTCTTAAACTAAAAGCCACAGCAACCAACAAATTGCTGATTATGATAGATTGGGAAATTCTCTATCAGAAAAAAATATAAAATAATTATATATCGTACAGTAAAAGGTCGAAAAACGCGACTAAAAGTGCTAAAAAGTGACATTTTTCAATTTTTGCCCATTTTATTCAAACGCGAATATCTCGTAAACTAAAAAGAGATAGTGAATCTGATCGCAGCGATATTGTACGGACCAATCTCTATCAGATACAACTAGTTAAAAAAGAGGCAAAATCTGGGAGATAGAGAATTTTCATTTCTTAAGAAAAAAATTGCCAAGGGGGTTCTTGATACTTTTTTCGACGATTTTTGAAATTCATATCTCTTAAACTAAAAGCCACAGCAACCAACAAATTACTTGCTGATTAGTAGATTGGAGAAATTCTGTATCAGATAAAATATAAAAATAATTATATTTCCTACAGTAAAAGGTCGAAAAACACTTGAGTAAAAAGTGCTAAATGGCGGCATTTTTTCAATTTTGCCCATTTAAACATATGAATATCTCGTAAACTAAAAGAGATTAATTAAGATCTGATCGCAACTTCTTAATGTACGGACCAATCTCTATCAGATAAAAATAGTTAAAAGGCAAATCTGGGGAGATGAAATTTTCATTCTTAAGAAAAAGAGTACTTAGGGGGTGCTTGATACTTTTTCGACGATTTTCAATAGTAATATCTCTTAAACTAAAAGCGATATCAACCAACAAATTGCAGATTATATGAAAGATTGAAAAATTCTTTTATCAGATAAAAAAGTATAAAATAATTATATTTCCTAAAGTAAAGGTCGAAAAACGCAGTAAAGGGTGCTAAAAAGTGACATTTTTCAATTTTACCCATTTTATTCAAACGCGGATATCGTAAACTAAAAGAGATAATTAAGATCTGATCGCAGCGCCAATGTACGGACCAATCTCTATCGAATACAATAGTTAAAAGGCAAATCTGGGGAGATGACATTTTCATTCTTAAGAAAAAAAAGAATTGCCAAGGGGGGTGCTTGATACTTTTCGACGATTTTTTGAAAATTCATATCTCTTAAACTAAAAGCCAGCAACCAACAAATTGCTGATTATGATAGATTAAGGAAATTCTCTATCAGAAAAATATAAAATAATTATATATCGTACACCAGTAAAAGGTCGAAACCGCGACTAAAAGGGTACTAAAAAGTGACATTTTCAATTTTGCCCATTTTATTCAAACGCAGATATCTCGTAAACTAAAGAGATAATTAAAAGATCTGATCGCAGCGTTTTAATGTACGGACCAATCTCTATCAGATACAATAGATAAAAGGCAAATCTGGGGAGATGACATTTTTTCATTCTTAAGAAAAAGTACCAAGGGGGTGCTTGATACATTTTCGACGATTTTTAATTCATATCTCTTAAACTAAAGATAGCTACCAACGAATTGTTGATTATGATAGATTGAACATTTTCTATCAGATAAAAATATAAAATAATTATATTTTGCTACAGTAACAGGTCGAAAAACATGATAAAAGTGCTAAATGTGACATTTTCAATTTTTGCCCATTTATTCAAACGCGAATATCTCGTAAACTAAAAGAATAATTAAAGATCTGATCGCAGCTTTCTTAATGTACGGACCAATCTCTATCAGATACAATGGTTAAAAGGCAAAATCTGGGAGATAAAATTTATTTTAAGTCTTAGAAAAAATTGCAAAGAGGGGTGCCCATTACTTTTCGACGATTTTCAATAGTATCTCTTAAACTAAAGCGATATCAACCAACAAATTGCAGATTATGAAGATTGAAAAATTCTTTGTAGATAAAAGTATAAAATAGTATATTTCCTAAAGTAAAAGGTCGAAAAACGCGGTAAAAGTGCTAAAAGTGACATTTTCAATTTTTGCCCATTTTATTCAAACGCGAATATCTCGTAAACTAAAGAAGATAATTAAGATCTGATCGCAGCGTTTTAATGTACGGACCAATCTCTATCAGATACAATAGATAAAGGCAAATCTGGAATGACATTTTTCATTCTTAAGAAAAATTGTGCCAAGGGGGTGCTTGATACATTTTCGACGATTTTAGATAGTGAAAACAATGGTTTCTCGCAATATGATCCGTATCCATATTACCAGTAAGTGAAATATACACGCCTCCTCTAATGCGGGCTATTGCAACATGCAGGTGAAAAGGATTTAAATCATTTAATCGAATAATGTAATTTAATTATAAACTTACTATTACAGCGCTCATCCCGGTTACACGATGGTACGACAAGTTCTGTAATTAAAGAAAACAACGTGGTTGGAGAAGTTTGGACGGAACGGGCGGGTTTCAATACATAAGTTTAAAACAAAACAAAAACTTTCTGTGCAGGTGTATCGCAATGGTCAGATAAAGTTACTTAGCAGTATATATGTTTCCAGTTGTTCTAGCCCGGTAATTACAACTGAGTTGTAACAAATATAATGCAAATTTTGAAAATATAAATTTCGATAAAAACGATACGCGATGCGCGATGCGCGAAAATACATCTGGATACGCCAGAACCGGCATGGATTACAGGCTGTAATCCATCAGTAGCGTTACCGGAAGCTGCACACAACGTGGGACAGTTCGCGAGTACCTGTAGCGCAGACACGCAGGTAAAGCAATAGATGCGCAAAGCCGGCGCGTCGATGCCCACGACGTACGGTTGCAATGGAAACAGAGCACTTTGGCGGTCTAAAGCTAAACTCGAATATGCGTCATGCGGCGTGCGAATGCTACGACTTGCTTGCAATCTCGCGAGTTGCATTCCGCGCGGCGGAATGCGATAGAAGGCGTAAATTGTGTTTAAAACAAGCCTATTCTCGTGCCGGAGATACTTACGTTTGCTGATAAACGCAGAAATAAACAATACAATTCTATTCAATGATTTTTTTAGTTCGTAATGCTAGTGCCATCTCTGAATGAAATAGATAGTAGTAGTCCCCATTAGATTAATTCCTGAATTTAGATTACTAAAATTAATAAAAAATTAAAATCCAGATTATGTTTTGGTTCAATTGTGAGGAAACTACATAATTTTTAGAAATGATAATATTTACCAGATTCTGCGATTGAGGAAAAACATTCGCTACCGCAGAATTTATTAGCGATGTTCATAACGCACTCACTTTGTTTTGAATAGATTTTACACTAAATTCGGAAGAATTTAGATTTACGACGATTATACACGGGATAAATTACTATTAAAATACCGAACACGGCTAAAACCACTAATTATCACTGGTTATCAACCAAATATAAAGCGATAAAGGACAATAAACGCACAAGCAATAACAAACATTACTATAGTCGCAAGTTAAAAATAAATAGTCGACTGCTGACCGAATATAATGCAAATTTAGAATGCAGAAGATCGAACAAACAATAAGAGCCGCGAGAAATACGTCTGAATTAATCAGAGACCGACGCGAAACTGGCCCCAAATCGCGGCTAGTGCAAGCCGTAGCCGAGCAGGCAATGACGCGATTGTTACTGATAAGAAAGCAAGAGGTGCGCAAAGTCGGCGCGTCGATGACACACGACTTTGTACGCGAATTGCATTTGCGATCAAAACTAAACTAAGATGCGGCAAAGTGCGACGTGAGAAGAAGGTAACGACGAAACACGGGAATGCGATAAGAATGTGTAAACCGTGTTCAAAACAAACACAATTCTCTTGCCGAATGCCCACGTTTGCCAATAAATATATAAATAAACAATACAATTCTATTTATATGATTTTTAGTTCATGCTAGTGCCATCTCTGAATGATACAGTTAGGAGTCCCGGAATTTATATAATAAATATCTATGAAAGATAGCGCGATTTTACATTAACTAGAATTACCTAGCTTTTACATTAAACAGAAAAAAACATTTTTAAAATCGGTCCAATCCGAGATTAGCGGAAATAGTTGTCATATTAAAAACACAAAATAAATAATTAAATTAGTCTTCATAGGTTGTACTGCTGGGTTGTACTTTAGTTTGTAATTTTATTTTTATATGTTTGCTGATATATTTATCAAAATAAAAAATTGTGTTGCTATGAATATATGTTTGACGTAGGAATCTTATAAATTATTATTGATATTGCAATTTTTTTTATGAGTTATGTTTCATGAGTTTTTTTACCGTCGATGTTTTGTTATATAAAATATTCGGGTAATACTTACTATTCACACCTACATGCCACAGTAGGTGTTTATTTACGAGTACATAATAATGTTTTAGCCTTCCTGGTCAACAGTTTACATACAGTAAAAAGAGATCTTTCAAGTGAGAGCGATCCCCGAAGAGGAAAACCAAAACAAAGTACTAGCAATGCACGTCCGGGCAAGTTTGTCAGCTGTAGTGAAGCAAACCCTGAACCAGAGCCATTCAGCTTGACGAATCAATTGGTATACAAAATGTCAATGGCACTGGTAAAACAGACAAACATTGCAAACGAGCAAATCGAACAAGTTCCAAAACAAACTGTAGTCAATCGTCCGGATTCCAATAATCGCATGTCTGTAGTCAATATCCCTTTGAAGCGTGAAAAAAAGACAACACTTACGATTAGCTCACCGAATTATGCCAAATCACGCATTAGTTTCACCCGACTGCAAAGCATCAAATCGAAAACGGCATATAAACCACTTGAAAATAGAAACGATACAGTTATGATAAACTCTGATTGTTATGTGCAAATCCTTATTGACTACGTACATGTATTGCTAGACATTGATAAACATGGTAATGATTTGTTTAATCAAATAATTTACTGTATGATGCTTAAACTATTGTAGTGAATGTGGATCTTTGTGACGAGAGTGGCACAATGCTAAGATTACAGGAACTGAAACCTCATGAAAGCGCAATGTCCCGATTGGAGGCTAGGAAAACTTATAATTTAATGTCTATTGAATGTAAGTTCTTACCATTTGTTTCAACTATACTGCACTTCTGCGTAAATAATTTACTCAAGCGCACATTCCGCTCATCCCCCCCCCCATTATTAGCGGGTTTATCGCGGTTATGAAAGGACGGCGCGTAGCAATCGTGCTTGATGTAGCCCCATGAATGATTTCTCCATAGATTCCTCACTTAAAAGAGGTTTTTGCTCAGGAGTTGTTAATTTCTGCATGATTTCTGGTGTTTTCTCATTTTCTAACATATTTACAATAAATATATTTCAGGGGATCCTGTAAACTTACAGTACATCGCCGTAACTCCACTAATATCTCCAATTACACCCAAAGATACTGATTTAATACAGAAATTAAGTCGATATCCATCAGTGGTAAGTGTAATTTTTTAACAGTACTTAAAGTTACATAAATCCTGTTTTTTAGAATATTAGTGATACTCCTACAACGGCAAAATTGAAAATGAAGAAAAAATTTTCGTTAAATGTCTAGTTCAAATTGTGAAATACTTTAATAATAATCGTATCTTTCTCTTTTGCATCCGTCATTTATTTTCATCAACTATATACAGAGTATAGCAAACTGTAAATAAATTATTGCAGCATTGCGATAGTAAAAATAATTATATAAAATGCAGTATTATACAAAAATATGGATCATTCCTATCTTAATGTAGTAATACTTTGGTGGGTGGAAAGCAATATATCACAGGGAAGTGTAATTAGATAATGTATTTGTTGGTAAGAAGCAACGAGCTAACGGTGGCCACGAGTGATACGACTAAACTAGCACAATGTGATACGGCACTAGCTTTCTCGTATTCATTCTGAACCAGGTAGTAATGTTTCTGGTCATCGAAAACCATTCGAATAAGTCTACCGTATAAGGGCTGCGTTGGGCGGAAATTGTGAGACATTAAATTACCATGTTCATCTTTTAAATGTCTGAATGCTTCAATCTGTAAATGTAGTTTACAATTTATAGCAATATTAATCAAGTGTTAATTTTAATTTTATTAATACCTGCGAGTGTGCCATTGGGACGGTATTTTTGAATTCAATCCACGTGACTACTTCGGAACATGGCGGTGTTGTTAGTGAACCGCCATACGTGTAATAAACACTTCGATTCTTCATCGTGAGCGCGTCCAAAGTCGGCATAGTTTTAAGCGGTCGTGTTAAATTTACGAACTCCAAATGTGGCAGTACTTCCTCAAGCGGTTCGTAGTGCTTATTTGGTTTATCAGAATTCTAGAAATTGCATACGACGTGTTTAATAGTTAATTAATTATGGTTTTTATCCCAAAAACACTTACAGAAAATAGAAACGCAAGAACAGTCAAGCCGTCTGGATGTTCTACAGCATTATCAAAGCTTCCATAGGCTTTCTGATAAAACACCATGTGAAGTTCCATTGGAAAGCTAAAGAAATTCAGATTAATTTATTGTGCACGGCTGATGTCTCTACCAAAAACATGCAAATTTCTTTTCGTTGGATTTAACTATTCTATATCTATAAGAAAGTTGTTTCACGCGTTTGTACAATACACGTTGAGATAGTTCCAAAACAACTCACCTGCTATTGTTAATTGTATTCTCGGAGCCTTCCGAATCGTGAGAACCCCAATGAAAGTGTAACTGTGCAAATTCGTATTTGCCGATTAGCGGGCCGCCCGAAATCATCGGCATCTTATTCGGATGTTTCATTTTCATCGTCAAAGTAACTGCCGTGAAAAAACAACAATTAACAATATGGCTGCATGAAATTATTAAAGCAAATTTATTTTCATATTGCGGTTAATTTGCGGTCGTCATGGACAATTTATAATTTCTATAAACTGTTATTATGCTTGATTAATCTCTCGAGACGAATAACGTATGAGCAATCTTCACGTGTCTCGTGTATAATTGCCATGTTATTTAAACATTTAGACGGTAGACTTATTGAGACTTATTAGTGTAGTCCCGATCACATTTGCATACTACGACAGCAGTATTCACAAATATAAAAAAAAATGCCATCAATCGTTAACTATAATCTCCGAAATTAACCGCAAGCGAGTTTTTTATGCGCTGGACATCACATGGCGTTTCGTAAAGTTTCGATGATGATTTTTTTGCTTGACATTAATTCGCGCATTCTTAGCACACAGATGTTTTATGCGGTATTTATTTTAATTACTTTGCAGACGCCGTGAATGTATGGATTATTGAAATCTACGTACATTGATCTATGACTCGAGAGACTTAGGATTAATTACATGCGTCATACAACACAATTGTATAAATTAATTAATTCCTACCAGTGTGTCCGTTATTTTTCATTTCGGCATATTCGGGTTTTTCACCAAAGTGCTCGAATCGCATTGGGTACAACCATATTGTCTCCACGTTGTGATCTTCGATATTTATTGGACTTTGATGTTTACCAATGCATTGTCTATATTTTTCACCCCAATGTGTTGGACCTGAAACATATTATCACATAATTAATGCTATGATGTTCAAAACAGGAAATCAACACCATGTAGCTAATAATTATTATGAAAAAAGTTTGTATCGCGGAAATTGGCGCAATTAAATACCTATGACCATGATATCCATTGGGTTTTTATTATGTAGCCGTTTACATATAATTCAAACATAAACATGTAAATATTGATATTTCGACTCTTAACGAGTTAATCTTTTATTTTATTGCGTCATAAAATTGACGTGTTTCTTTGCTTCAGAATATTCATTACCCAAATAAGTTTGGCTTTGTGATTTAGCAAAACACCTTCAAATGCAAAGAAAGTGTGAAATATTTGCACATCACAACACATTAAGCAATCCAATAAATGTTAAAAATAATTGTCGAAGGCATAATAAACCAACACGCCGCACATTCATTCTCAAAACTATAAAACTGTGTTAGATATGCAGCTACATACAACACATGCAACCGAATAAATTTTACTGTATACGTGCATCTAATCTGCCGTTTAATGATAGCAAGACGTAAACAACACCGAGAATTGTACACATTTTAGGCTGTACAAATATATTCATATATTCTAAGATTTATGTAAAGTTCTTATTAATTTGTGTAATTCCTGCATTTGTTTTTGATGCACTTGTGGAATTAAGATAAAATCCGTAGATAAATCGTGTTGTCGCGAAATCGTGACTTCTAGAAACATGACAGTACATTAAGACCAGAAAATTAAAAATGTGTTAACATTATAATAGTTACGGTGTAAATTCGCACCTTCGTGTGGCTAGACACGCAAATCAACAGTGAAAATATGAAAGTTTCCTTCACTTCCATTTTTAAACAAAAATTACCTTTAAATATTTAATTGCAAGCGAAATTTGCAATGATTTTTTTACTTTTTCGCATGTTAAACATTAAAAGTCTTCACTCATCACCATTCTTTTCGTTATATAAGCTTCAAACAAACAATTAATCACCTTTTTTCAAATTGCGATGATTGATGGGAAACTAACAAAGCCATGAGAAGAAATAAAGTATTTAATTTGAAAGATCATGTGCGGGGACTTCCACAAATACATCAATTGACGTTGCGTGCGTTGAACAGCATGTCAGTTGAAAAGAACCCGACGCCTCAGTGCTTCTAATATGCGATAATTTCATTACCGAACAAAGGAAACGTTTAGACGACGTTAAAAAAGTATTAAGGATAAGTAAAATTATGTTTATTATATAAGCATTTAATTGCACGTCTATGTGTTAAGAAATAAATGAAAAGTTTAAAAATATATAGGTACTTTTTCAAATGTGATTGACCGTCTCGAAATGTGGTTCATATTGTTTGGACAATTATTCAATGACACAGGCTGTGTCAATAGATCTCATTTTATGTGGAAAAAACGCCTGCATTTGTCAATATTTGCCGTCAATTATGCCTAGCTCCTGCTTGGTTAACTTATTGTAGAAATGTGTTATTTGCAAGCGACTTGTCAATTATATTAAAACGAAATTATGTAATTAATAAAGCAAACAAAAGAAGTGTGAACCACTTCAGTACACTTAGATGCATAGGAAACTTTTGAAATTAGGTCATCAGACTTCTATCTAAAAAAAGTTCGCGGACATTCAATATGTTTCATAAAAGTAACTTTCAAATATAAATATAAAGAATATTATTCTATACAAAGCGTGCAAAACGTATAATTGATTAAATTGTATACTAAAACGTACAGAAATTACGATGAATCGACGTGTTACCTTGCTAATAACTAATAAAAGCATACATCAATAAGTTTCCATGATGCCAGAACGAGAACGTCACAATGTGTACAATAAAATATGACCAGACACATAAAATATGTAATTCGCACATACCTTCAGAGCCATCGTAACCAAAGTCCTGGCCACAAACTAGAACAGAAGAGTAAAAGTTAGATGAGTACTCAATATCTACACCTGGAAATAAAAGTACAGTTGCCATCGTTGCTAAAATCTTACGTGGAATGTGGAAAATTTCTAATAGCACTCGCTTTTTTAACGATCTTTTATGTTCCGCGTGTGAAAGGTGTCCGCTAACAATCCGCGCATATTCCGCAAATTTCGCACGATCGCATTCATCACGAGGCTTATAATTTACATCTAATGCTACGCAGTTGGTATGTAATCGTCACGATGCAGTTTGCGGCTTCATCTTGACAGAATTACGTTATTTAACTAGGACTTTAATTACTTCAATTACATCAATATATAATTAAACATGGTGTTGCATTGACACTAGTTCTAATTATAGTTAATTAGAGCGCATTGTTAAAGAAATAATTCTAATCAGTTTGTGGATCATTTAAATAAAATGTTCGACATTCATTGACCTGCTTATTGGTCATAGTTTTTTTTTTCATGAATTTAGCTGCTCGTCACGTTTGCAAGCATCAATTAATCGCAGCTTATCTGGAACAATAAATTGTTCTCACACAACTTTAGTATAAACCAACTGTCACTAACAATAACTTTCATAATTTATTGATTATAATATTCACTTTATCATTGATTTGTTTTTAATTAAAAAGACGATAAAAACATTGGTATACTATGTTTATATTTACTTTTTTATATTTATTTATCATTAAGTTGATAACGTTAAATTCATAGTCACGGATTTAAGAAAAGAATGTCAGAAAAGTCGAAAGCGGTCAATGTTAATGCAACGCATTAAATAAAAAAGAAATAAATGCATTGCTTACCTGCATAGAACAAACTCACAATAACGACAGGATAAAACGTGTGTAACCAATTCGACATTTCCGATTTGTTTTAATTCACAACTAATCACTTCGAATGCAGCGCACGTTTTCGGTTTTGCCCGGCGCGTTTGTTGTGATGCGTGCTCAATCCGCCGGCCCGTAGAAAGAAGTAAAAGCGTTTGAGAAGCACTTTTGTTATTAACAATTGCGCGCAGGTTCGAACGGTTGGACGAGCACGCTCGGACTGCTTTTTCGCTAAAACGTGGAGCGGTATCCGTCTGCAAGTAATGTGTTCTCGCCACTGCGCTTTATACCTACGCATTCGCCAACGACCGCAAACTTAAACTGTGCTTAGACTATCGCACCCGACGGTATAACAATGACAAGACATTCGGTTTACGGTGGCTTTAAACTTTTGGATTTTGAACGCGGCGCTGAAAGGTAGGGCAGGTACTGCCATAAATTGGGTATATCGTTAGTTAAACCAGGTTTGAATTGGTTTTACCACGTTTTTACTACATGACCGTCACCATATAAGACTAATAAAAAGACAGTAGTTAATTTAGTATTTAGAACACACGAGTTAATTTAGATCCAAATAAGCTAGATCTAGAATAAAACAACGTATAAAATTTCTGTACATCACCCAGTATAAGGACATCGTTTAAAAGTCCATCTTTTATAATTTTAAACTAATTTAAATCCAATATAGAATCTAGGTGTCACGCGGTGTCAGTCATTAAAACTTTATTACTGACAATATTAAAACACTACTTCAAAGTTTATTAACTCGTATTTACTCCGTTGGTGTTTAAATATGTATCAAAATAGTTTGTAAGAGTTACTAAGCAAGTGAATTGATTTAATCTATAACCACAAACAAACAAATTTTATGTTAACATAATAAAAAAATCAATAAAAGCAATAAACGGACAAACAAATTAATAATTAAACCGCCTTAAATGATTCCAAATAGACCAAAGTTTGGAACAATGTTCGATTAGTTCACATCGTTATAACCGTCGCGGTTTCCGAGCGCAATTTGAGACATGCCGAGATCGTTTACTCAATTTCCAGCACGAAACGATAAAATTGATGCGGGTATTGCGCAAGTTATCGTCTTATATAACAAATTGCTCTTCATAAATATGCGGATTGACACGATAATGCGACCAAAATAATCAGACATATACGCAGAAACAATAACAACGTAATTTGATTGTATTTACACAGTAGTTGGTATGTCACATCGTATAAAACTTACATTTCATTTGGAATATGTTACAACTCCAGCGGGATTCCTCACATCTGATGAATAACTAAAGTTTTAGATCAAGTCATTTCATATTGAATCAAATTTGAATGCATTGATCTGTTCGAAAGCGATAATTAAATTATTACGTAGACGCTGTCATTGATGGAGTTGTTGATGGAGTGCCCGTTGGAGAAAAAGCTATGTCGTAAATTTGAGGATAGTCACTTACAAAGTGCACGTCAATACCTTCGACGATAAATTGTGGTAGATCGTTGTAGTCCTTTTTGTTTTGTTCAGGCAGTATGATGCACTTGATTCCGGAACGTTTCGCCTGCATATAATGAGTCATCATAAAATTTCGGATGTTAATTCTTTGATAGTAATCAAAATACGCTTACCGCAATTATTTTCTCTTTAATACCGCCAACTGGAAGCACTTTTCCAGTTAAAGAAATTTCACCGGTCATTGCAACGTCCTGTCTTACTGGCCTGCCAAGTGCTAACGAAATTAACGCGGTTGCGATTGTTGCGCCCGCACTGGGTCCATCTTTCGGTGTAGCTCCTTCAGGAACATGGAGATGTAAGTGGCTAAACAAGCAACAAACAAAATTTACGAGATTGTCATTTTATACGCGGATATTTCTACCTGGTGTGTAAAAATTTGTTATTTTCGTCACGCACATCTAAGAAATTCCGTGCCACAGTCAATGCTATCTTAGCGGACTCTTTCATAACATTACCAAGATGACCTGTAAGCTCTAGACTACCATCACTATCTTTTCTATATTTGAACGTCTGGTAGTAGTCTCAATAAAAGTGTAGAACCGCCCATCGCAGTCCACGCCAAGCCCATTACAACTCCCGGTGGTGTGTCCAGATACATTCTGTCCTGTGTAAACAGCGGTTTACCAACAAATGTTTGTAAATTAGTTGGTGTAACATCAACAAAATGCGTGCCGTCTTTTACAACTTTATAGGCCACTTTACGCACAACTTTTTCTATCTGTTTTTGCAAGTTGCGCACGCCAGATTCGCGGCAGTACTGCTTAATGAGCACTTTTAGACTGTCATCTTGTATTTTAATATTGCTATCTTTTAAACCGCTGTCTTTCATAGCTTGCGGAATGAGATATTGTTTAGAGATAGCTAATTTTTCTTCAGCTACATAACCAGACATGTCAATCATCTCCATTCGATCACGTAGCGGCTCTGGGATTGTATCTATCACATTCGCAGTACAAATGAAGAGAATTTTCGATAAGTCAACAGGTACATCGAGATAATGATCCAAAAAGTTGGAATTTTGTTCCGGATCTAAGAGTTCTAATAAAGCCGAGCTTGGATCTCCAGTGAATCCCCTAAATTTCAAGTCGTTAATATTTTGTTTGTAGGAATTAAACATACACTTACTTTCCCACTTTGTCTACTTCGTCAATTAAAACCAACGGATTTTCTGTTTTTGTCTTTTTAAGGCATTGAATCACCTTGCCAGGCATTGCACCAACGTAAGTTCTTCTGTGGCCCTTAATCTCAGCGACATCGGTCATACCACCGACAGAGAATCGGAAATATTCGCGATTCAACGCTCTGGCAATCGAGCGTGCTACAGCAATTAATAAGTAACAATATAAAACAATTTATAAAAATGATTTATATTACCTATGCTGGTCTTTCCAACGCCGGGCGGTCCATGGAAACATAGAATTTTACCCTGAGTTGAGCCTTTGAGTTGACTCACCGCGATGAATTCCAGAATTCGGCGTTTAATATCATCCATACCGTAATGATCTTCTTCGAGAATAGCTGAAGCACGATCCAAATCTAAATTTTCAGTGCTCTGGATTCCCCATGGGAGCGAAGTCAACCAGTCAAGATAATTCCTCGTTACACTAAACACACATAGAAAAAAAAACATAAATCAAACCGGTATTTTTACTATAAAAATAACACTTACTTAAATTCAGAACTATGACTCTCTAAAAAGTTTAATTTTGACAGTTCTTCGTCAATTACAGTAGATACAGCCTTTGGCAAGACTTTCGCCTTGATTCTTTCCTTAAACTTTTCCCCAATTGCATCTTTATCTTCCTTTTCCAAACCCAGTTCCTTCTTTATGACCTAGATAAATACAATAAAATCACTGATATGTTTGTAATGTAATTATTTATAGTTATACCTTCAATTGTTCCATTAATATGTACTTTCTGTGATGTTGCTTGACCTTTTCTTCGACCTCACGTCCAATCTTCTGTTGCAACTTGGATAATTCATACTCTTTTTTCAATAGAGATAATGAAAGCATCAACCGTTTCGGAATCTAGATTTTTGCATTATTAATATTACAAAATCAGAAAAATTATATTGTAACTCACATCAATTTCCTCCAAAACTTCCTGCAATTCCTTAGCTTCGGCTGCGGTTAAAGCCGCACCTAGGTCACTCAAATAAACTGGATTATCGACGACCCGTTGACCCTGATGCATCATCTGCTGCAGGCTGTCGCGATACAATGGATTGAGGCTAATAATATCACGAATCGTTTTAATAACCTCCTGTGTCAATGCTTTTACTTCTTCTGTCTGCCTAAACTTATTATGCACAACATTTTCAACCTCAACCATTAAAAGTGGCTCTTTGGGTGGCGTTGAAATGCCGGCAGTAGTCGCTGGAGCAGGTTTTACTTCGGGCGTTTTCTTCAGTCTGTTATTATTATTGCGACCTTTACGCTTTCTCGTATCGTCATCTAGAACGTTCATAGATGTTTTAAAAAGTGGAAATTGTAGATTCATTTCTAGCAATAAATATAAACAAGTTTTGAAATTTGGAGAAGATCAAAATTTGTATATTTCTTACTTACCTTTGGGCATTGCCTCATCAGGATTATCTAGAATTTGGCCTGTAATTTTGATTCTTCTGTGTGCCATTACAACCAAGCGTAATTTATCTCCTAAATCTTGCATCTCATGAATTTGTGCAAATATTCCAACATTATACACTTCATTGATATCTTTCACTACCTCTGCATCATTATCCTCACTTTTCTTCAGAAAGATACCACAGTATGGCTGATTAAGCTTTACTTTTCTTCTGATCAGTTCCATCAATGCTGGATTGGTTACCTATAAGTAATCATTGACATTAAGTTAACCATAAATAAATAAAAAATAATGTATACCTCAATGAGTTTGATGAATCTGGGGAAGACAATGTTTCTACTGATTGCAATGACTGGTACATGGGGCCAAACCTCAGGCACTGCAACAGTTGCTGGTAACTGAGGTGTGAATGTCTCATTGGAATTGCCTTTATCGCCATCATCGGTGGTTTTTGCCGAAAAGTATCTTGCAGCAACGAAAGCAGTCTTATTCAGTTGATGTTCGATGAATCGTGCTGGCCGTAAAGTCGATAAATTCAAGCACTCAGCGGTAGCGTGAGAGCTGCGAGAAATATAATGCAATTTTCTAGAATGTGTGGTTAGTATCACATTGCGACCAGTTAAACAGCGAGAATTTCGAATCGACAGGCCAGAAATACGCGTTATTAATGCTGGACTCTTTACCAACGACGTGAGATACATTTTTTCGAGCATTCGAATGAAGAAATGATAGTAAATTTTCAAACTTAATCGGAACTTGACAACTCGCGACGGTTTACAAAATGACACAACTCCGACGAACACCGACAAACATCACAACAGTGAAACAAATGCTGGCACACGACAGTTCACCGCGAGACGTTTCGCCGCGGTAGGTTTCGCCGCCGAACATTTGAATTGATGTTCAAAGGTTTTATTAATATGATATCATTCAACAACGATAACTTTTGGAGGTCAAAGGGATTCCTTTGATTGATGTGTATTAATATTCACCTTCTCCTTACATTATTTGATTATTATTTTAAAACCACAACGTTTTTATCGAAACTTTACGTCAAAACTCAATAAAATCAATATTTCAACAACTAACTTTATTAATATAGCCCCCTTAAGTAATGCAATAATATAAGTTATGAAAATAAATATATAGCGCTGCTATATAAATTGCCTCAATATAATCTGTAATATTTTCTTATTTATTGTTTCCTGTCAGCAGGACGAATGTAGTTTTCACCACCGTGTTTAATCCATTCTCTGTTAAACTCGTTCTCCAAAATCTCCGCACCTCTTCGTCTTGTCAGCCCAGTTTCAGTTAAGGATAATTCACACATTTGCATATCGTCCTTTCCGGCAACCAGCAGTACAGCCGCCTTTTCTGCATGTAGCTCCATTTGTCTAGCGACAAATTCTCCATCAAAATGGGCGTACCACCAGCCTTTCTTACCTTCCTGCTGGGCATCAGCTTGAATTGTAGCTGGGCGAGTGAATGGGATTTTAAAATAGCGCTGGCCATTCTCATTTGCAATAGTTTTCGTTGGTCCACGCGGCATTTTCTCGGCAGCTTTAGGACCGATCGTGGGGCACGATCGTTTTCGTCCATGATGGACTTCTTGTTCTTCTTTGCTTTCCATGCATGGTACACTTTCAAACGGCGATGGAATTCGTGCCTGCATGCCTAAAACATGCACCCAAACAAAATTGCATATAAATTGTTGTTTTAGTAAAGACTTGAATAATTGTACCTCCAAAAGTTCAATATCACAGGAAGTGTTGATAGCGTCACGTAATTCCGAATATTTCCAACGGGATAAGTCGTACTTGGACTTGCTCAATTGGTTTTGTTGATTTCTCACAGCCTCACATCTATATCAACCAGACAGAAACAAAAATTAAAATAAAAATGTAATAAATTAATTAAAAAAAAAAAGGAAAAAAAGGATTCATTTGTGTATTGCGTGCTGTGATCATGCTTTCTTTTCTCTCATAGTGCGTAAAGATTAGTGGTTTTAGGTGCTAGGCGCGTGTTTGATTTTGGTAACAGTTGTTAGCAATTCGTTGTTAATGTTACAACATGTAAATAATATCGCGTTGCCACACAATACCTGACGAGCTTATGTATATTCCGGTTTGGATCCACGCTGCCGCTGTTTGGATAATAAGAAACATAACATTGAGAAACAAACACTGCCACCAGTTTGTTTTATACAGCTATGTACATCATTTGCATTCGTAGATATGAATAAAAAACGCCACAAAACACGTGAGGACATATCGCAATCATTTAAATTTGAATCTTTTTAAACTGTCTCGAATAATTATTGTCCTATTTTGTAAGCAGTGGTTTTGAACCTGACTTATACGAAAATAATCTGCAATTAATGTAGCTGCGTACTTGCGTGACAATGGAGGACTATCTTCCAAGTTCTCGTTGTTCTCTTGGGCCAATCGCAGCGCCAATTCGTGATCTTGACGTTCTTGTTCAAGTTGCTCCTGATATTGACGATCTTCTGATTCCTGCTGGGCTTGTAAAACCATGGCAGCCTTTCGGTCAAGGTCTTCCTATATAATATTAATAAACAATAAAATATTATGCAAATTATGATAATAATAAACTGTATTTACTTGTTTACGACGTTCATCTTCTTCCTTCTTTCGCTTTGCTTCCATTTCCTGTTTCTTCTTGCGGTTTTCTTCTTCCTCGCGTTGTTTACGCTGTTCTTCTTCTTTGCGTTTCTTCTCGCGTTCAATCTCTGCTTGAATCTTGCGTAAACGTTCTTGTTCTTCAGCGTTCTTTTGCTCTTGCACCTTCTTCTCCAAGGATGCCATTTGTTTGTTGACTTTGGCAATCAATTGGGCGTACATTGTATCAGCATAAGCAGCTGAATTAGGATCCTTTCGCATTTTCTCCATATTTGTCTTAATCTCAACCTTCAAAGCGCTGATCTCTTGTACACTGCTTTCCTTGTTTTTCAATTGTGCGGTGATTGACTCAAGTTGTTTTACACGAGCATCCAGGCCTCTCATGTTACGCAACGCTTTGATCCTTGGCTGGTGTTTCTTCTTTACCAAGTAGCCACGCACAGTTTTCTGAATAGTTACCAATGCATGTCGTCTATACAAAATTTTGTTCTTCACTGGAAACAACAAACATTTTTACACTTTATGGGATATAAAAGATTTGTTTATATTACGTTTAATGACCGTGAGCGCGGCAAATTGTGATTTGATCCAGCGTGATCTGACGAGCCACTTCTTCACTTTAGCAATGATGGATTTCAAATTTTCTGGATCACTACGCATTATTTTATCAAACTCTGAAAACTTTCCAGGCCGGAAGAACACGCGTGTGACACCAAACTTGTAGTCTTTCTCGTGTAGATTTAAACTGTGCAACATTGCCTAAAATAACAATAATAACAAATTAAAGTGTTTGAACAAGAAAAGAAAGTGTGAAACTTTACAAACAAAAATTATAATTTAACAAGGTCAATGTCTAGTAACGTGCAAACAGGTGGTTAACTTACCTCGCAGAATGTTTTTGGTGGAAGTGCTTTCAATTCTTTTGGTAAAAAGCTTTCGTACATGGAGTACAATTCATTAAAAGGCGTTCTACTTGGGTAACCATGTTCCATCAGCTGCAGAACGCTCGTCATGCCGGAACATTTCAGCTGCATCAAACTCAACGGTCCATCGAACTGTTGATCAACCATTTTTGAATTTGGCTTTATGCAACGAATAAAATTGGTGCCCTAAAAGTATCATCATATAATTAGATAATTTAGATATTTTTTACTCTAAACAACTTACATTGTTTCTTAGCTTTTCCATTAATTCAGCAAGTTGTGTTTTAAACTTGCTGCCTACACTAATGAAGCTCAGTTTTCCTTTCTGTGATTCAGCATTGGCAAACAGTGATTTAATAAACTTGTTGGAACTTTCCTGGACGATGCCTTCAAGTGAAGCGTGCAAAGCATCATTGTTTTTATCAATGAAATGATTCTACAAAGTAATATTTTTAAATAAAACTTAAGTAACAATAAACTAAACTAAGACTACTCACTGTCTGGTAACAGACAGCTCCAGCAAAATGCCTGATCACAAATCCTTCATCATCTCTAATATTCCTGTGGGCTTTCAATCGGGAAGACCGTGGCAAGGCCAACCGGAAATGATTAGGCCACTGCGCATGAACCTCGGAAGTAAAATGCGTGAAAACTGGCTTCGGCAGCTTGGATTCCTCATCCAAAAGATTGAAGATACCCTTATTTTTAGTTTCAATGATATCAATGCAGTCTTGGTTGTCAACGAACTTAATTTCAGGCACATTCAAACCCTCTCTTTTGTATAACTGCTGCTCAAACTTTAAGATGGTCTCATTGAAAAACTCTTGAAGCTTCTCATTGCAGTAATTAATGCAAAACTGCTCGAAGCTGTTCACCGTAAAGAATTCTGAAGCAGAAAGCGTCGAATACATTAGTTGCATGTTCTTCCTACTACACTACGCTTCTACTATAATTTAATTAATATAATTTGCGTGCTAACGCGTGCGACGTACCGAATCCAGCAATGTCCAACACGCCGACGTAGTAGCTGGATGCTTGGAACGGAATACTTTTGTTGATACGCAAAACAATATAGTCGAAAAGTTTGCTGTACAATGCTTTAGCCAGTGCGTCTCTTGCACTACGTGCTTCGTGAATTTTTAGTGGCACCCTGTAAAGAAATAAAGAAAAACAATTAGAAATTTATTTTCTTTAAATTTGAATTGTCTTACATGATGACAGTGCCTTTGAAACCACCACGAGCACTTTGCATCACCCTTGACACAAGCGCTTGCTTTAGTTCGCTAGAATCGATTCCCAGAAGTTTCGACGCCGTGTGTAACGATTTTTCGCTGTTGGCAGTAATGCTGCACCCACCTCGGGTGTCTTCAGGGTCATCTTCGAATTCTATGTTACCCAAATGCAGGACAGCTGCGACATTAGCGTAGATTTGGATACGCTCTTCGTCTGTTAGTCCAATGCGACCTAAAGCATCGTGCAGGCTTTGGAAGTCTTCGTAATCATTCAAAAGGGTGTCATTGAGGCATCCTTTAGTGGAGTGCAATTTACTCTTTTGATTTGCAGCTAGTTTCTTCTCAGTTGCCGAATTTGAAAAATATTGTGTGCAACCATTTCGTAGATACTACAATAAAACAAAAAAAAAACATCAGAATAACAAAATCTTTTAGTTTTTTAAATTTTTTGTATAAAATACTTACATTAAAGTCATCCGGTTGGGTAAGATTTAAAGACTGACGCAGAGATTCAGGAGCACCCGCCATCAATCGATAGAAAACATGGTAACTACGCTCCTCGGCACCAGGACTACAAATTCTGCTCTTCTCCAGCAAATAGTGCGAAATATGCCCTCCGACAACTTGGAAGTTCTTATCAAAATGCACCTCGATGAATTTACCAAAACGGGAACTGTTGTTGTTACGCGTAGTTTTGGCGTTACCAAACGCTTCTAACACTGGATTAGCATCCAGGATTTTTTGTTCAATTGGCCCGGCCTTAGATCCCCAACTTTCACACAAATAACGCAGCAGGTGTTTAGTCGACTCAGTTTTACCAGCTCCCGATTCCCCGGAAACAATGATCGACTGTGACTTTTTGATCACGCGCATGTCACGCAATGCTTTGTCAGCAATGGCGAATACATGCGGCGGCATTTCTCCCAGTGATTTGCCCTGATAATTTTTGATTGTCTTAGATGTATACAATTCAGCAATCTCTTTGTACGGATTCACGGCTATTAAAATGTTGGCTACAAAAGTCTGCAGGCAAAGAATCACATCAATTCATTTTCATAATGTGAATAATTGATAAATACTAACGTAGATCTTATTGCTGTAATAACATTTTTTAATATTATTAAGCAAGGACGCTTCATTAAGGAACATCATTTCGCCTGCGAATAAAATGGACAGTAAAAAATAGATAGAAAAGCTTTTAACCTAATTCGACTTACAATTATCTTCATATTGCTTAGAATGGTCCCCAGCTTGATAGATGTCATCAAAACCGGCAACGCGTTTTTTATTTTTCCGATCCTGCGGTACAACCTCGGCCCCATCGGCGAACCATTCGGCCACATTGCCCAAAATGAAACCCTCGTCGGGGTCTCGGACCCACACGGAATCCATGCTGGCCTGCAATGTGAAACACTGATATTGTTACCTATATTACCACACAGCTACCGAGCGTATGGGAACCGCCAATGAAAAAGAACAATTGTTTACTCTCGGTGTTAGCAAATCAAACGAGATTAAATTCCACGTTCACTTTTCAAAGCATTTCATTGCAATATGGCAGGAAACTAAATTATACACGTTGGGATGCGAGAATTTACTCTACTTTAAGATTATTAATACAATGATTTCATTGTTTTCTGTAAACATTATGAAATGCACTCGAAATATTCAAAAGTAGTCCATGTTTGACTATGCATGTGCTAGGCACTTGTAAGGCATCACATGTCGATAATTATGAAAGCAGAAAAAGAAAATATTCGCATTATTAGAACAGCAGACATTTGACTACACAACGACAGCATGCGTTCCGCACAAAGAGATGAATCCGTTTTTCAAGTTGGTACGCAATCGCGCTCCGTTGCAAGCGGCAGCTGCCGCAATTGAATCAGTTGAATGTACAGTTAATCATCAAGAATATGTTGCGTGGATGTGTCGCCGCGTGATTAGCGACGTCCGTAATTGGCGATTACGGCGCATGGCAGCCGATTGTGTGCGCGCAGGTAAAATTACTCTGAAGAGTTCGACGTTTTTAGACGCACTTAAAATAGACGTGTATATTTAAAGTTTTATGATTAGTTAGTAACATTTCTACGTGTGTTTAGTCATTTGTTATCGCGTAGGAGGCAATTTTGTCGCTGTTATCTACTGAATGTCATCTGAACCTTTCGAAAACAGCACCAGCGTGGCATTTTAAGTGGAAACTGATCAATTACCGATCAAATAATTACGTATTATCAGAGGAAATCGATTAAAATACTTAATTTTGGATTAAAAAAAAAATTAAATTTTTAGTTTTTTTTGAAATTATAAACATGTAGTATGTTGATGTGAGTTATGCACACGCGAAAAATGAAAAGCCAACCTTGAACACCAATAATCATCGCATTAAATAAGTAGACAAGGTCTAGGAGAATAATTGTCGCGTTCCCGTGCACAATGTCGACTTGATTCGCGGGTGAAACTTGACAATTGTATTATGTTACCATCATGAGTGTAACTCAACGCGAGATACGAAATCTCAGCGTGTGTATGCTCGGTTAAACACAATTTGCTTAAATCATTGCATGCACCAATTATGTGGCTGAACTTTTAGTGCAGAACCGCAGAGTACCATCCAACAATAGCCATCCGCGCAAGAAAGTAAAGAAACAATCGACACGCCGCAGCTTTTCTTTCAATTCAGCAGAAAATCTACTACTGTAGTCTGACTGGCAGTTAGATGAATCTAGTTTTTCATAGCATAACGTGCGATTTAAGTGGCACAACCATTACGGATTGAAATATAGGCGACATGCACACAGACCGCGCTCTGTACGCGCCTTTTACAGTACAGTACGGATCTGAACGAAGAGCATCTTCAAAGCATGCGGGATCAGTGAACTACGAAGAAGAAAAAGGCCGAATGTAAACGCGAGTTGCCGTAATGCCATTGCAATCGCTCTTTGCAGTTCATCGCAAAGCTTTTATTTGAATATAAACTATAAATAATTGACTATTTTGTTCCCCAGTTGAGTAAACTTTGATGTTTTAAGCAGATTTAGCTCTCTTGGTGTGAATAATTAGAGTTGCCTTCGTGAGTTTCATGGTCATTACCTACAACTATACATTTTTTGAGCGCTTTCTAAGCACTTTGTGCAAGTACCGCTTGTTTTTTTATTGTGGTGTACTTTTTGTTTTAATATGCTTTGTTATGCTTGCACAGCACAATAATAAATAACAATAAGTACAACAATTAGAGAAGCTTTCATTTCGCACTTTCCTAAAATACAACAATTATATTAAGAATTTCATTAACGTGGAACATTTCAACATTGACACCGTTTTTTTTTTTCATTCATTATGTGGCGCAAGTGACTGTGATAAGAGATAAGAATCTGAAGCGCTTGATTTTTCGACATTTATATGATATTTCGATGTTTTGCTGGAGTGTTCCAGCGATTCAGCGAACGTTTTAGTACATTATCGATTCATATTGAATTGATAACACAAAATCCATTAAATTTATTAGGTGCTGTATTATTATTAATTACTTTCATCGATATCTATCGATAACACCATATATAAATGTTTTTTTTTTCGTAGAAAAAAAAAATTCTGACAATTTAAATGTCTGCCCGGAAATTAGGGGCAGTTCATGGTACAGATGATGACAATAGCCTCTCCGGAAGTGAAGAGGATCTACGCTTTATTGACCGTACCACAACACAAATGTACGAAGAGTTGGTTGAAAACAACGCGGTGCAAATGCCGGTCTTTTTTTTTGTGTGCTAAATGTCAAAGTATAGGAAAGATAGGAAAGCAAAAGGTCGATCCGCCGCACGGTTTTCATATATTCGTTTCGCATGGTACCTAATCGCATAAAGCAGCGATAGCGTTGGGAAATAGAGCGAATTAATTCGGTTACCTTTTAGCGCCGCGATACGACTCCGATGCGTCCCTTTTTAGTCGCTCCGATGAACGAAACACGCACCTGCACCTCACACTCAGCGGTTACTTCTTCGCGATGTGAATAAACACGATTGACCGGCACTCTCGCACACAACGAGAACAACCGCGCGCGCGAACGTTCCGCACGGGACACGTAGCTTCGTCAAACAACACCTGAGTTTATAACAACTCGCAGGTATCGCATTCGGGGAACTTCGTCAGCGGACGCGAGCGCGCCTCAGTTTGCGCGACCAGTTTTTTTCACCACTGCGATGCGATGATGATGATTCAGCGCACAATTCGTTGTGGTTGCGATCAAGCCGGTCCCTACTAGGTACCTAGTAAAGTAAAACAGATGAACACACGACGAATAAAACTAGTAGCGATGTGGTTCCATCATCACGCGTCTGGTTTGTGAAAACATTTACAATGCGCTATGAAATACATAAAAATTACACTTTGGTAGATATGTATTTGTACGAGTATTTCCATAAACAATTAACTTTATTAGTTAAATTATAACGACGACAATAGTATATCGACCTAACGGAAATTGTTTTCATTTATTTTCTTCGCGTAACAAACGGATGTCAAACCCGAATGTCGGCAGGAATAAACGATGGATATGATAAATTTATTTACAAGAGTATTTATATTTACAATTAATCATTAAAGAAGAGGTGTGTTTACCGTATTCTTGTTCTGTTTTTTTTTTGTTTGTTTTTGTTTCTGATTTGTTTCTGATATGACGCAGCACGCTTCCGGTTTGTTCTTGTTTGATGAATCAATGGCTTGGTCCTTAGAACAATCGTACAAATCAATGAAAATTGAGATAAATTAATTTCGAGAATCCAAAACTTTAATAATCACAGTCACGCAACATCTACACACGCACGCATGCATTCAGATGGATTCGACAACGATTTCATTTCCATTTACTTAATCTGAATAAATTGCATTTATGTTTGCTTTGGATGCTGCGCTGGTGGTGGCGGTTGCGCTTTGAAGCACTGCATCAGGAATGCAGTGTATGTGACGAATGCAACGCCAATCGCTAATAAAGCATACATAAAGATGTTTAATTCGGGTTGACGGAAGCGATTCTTCCTGAGCCATTCGAGAACGTCTTTTTCGGATTTTAAATCACCGCGGAATATGCTTGGGAAGCGTCGGCGGAAGTAGACAATCGAGGGTAGATGAGTGACGCCCCATTTGCGGGCGTATCGGGCGTCCGCCATCTTGACGAAGGTTATGTCAAAGTTATCTGTTTCACTGTCAATGTTTTCGAGCTTTTCTAGGATATGTTTACTTTCTTCTGAGTGTACTTCATCTAAAACACAATAATTAAATAGTTAAATAAAACACAATTAATAGATGGCGCTACTTACAGAAGAAAACAGTAACAAACTCATTTTCTTCCAACAATTTCTCCAACATCTTCTTGTTCACCTCTTCAATCTCGTTTTTAATTTCAAACACATCTTGGGACGTTAACCAGTCAAGAATGCGATCACCAGCGGTCAAGTCACCATCATAAACCATTGGTGTCTTTTTCCGGAAGTACATCAACGCTGGTAAATTGTGGAGACCTTGTTCAGCGGCAGCGTCAGCACTGCAGATCTTTACAAAATCAATTCCAAACAAATCTGCTTCTCCGTCGATTTCTTCAAGTTGTTCCATGATTTCGTCACATTCAGGGCAGTCCTCATCATCTGAAACATCAACATTAATAAAATCTTCATAGAATTCTTCTTTTTAAACTTACAAAAGAACACGGCAAGGAATGGAGATTCATTCAGCAGTCTTCCCAACATTTTCTCATTAACAGATTCAATTTCATCCGCTAGCTCCCGATTGTCATCGTCAATTAGCCATTCAAGTACGGATTGTTCATTTTGAAGGTCACCTTCAAATAGCAAGGGATTTCCATTTCGGAAATAGACTAATGCTGGGAATGTTTTGATGCTATAACGTTTTGCGAGAGGAGGATCTTGAATCTTAACTAAATGAATACCATAAACATCAACTTCATCGTCAATGTTTTCTAAATCTTCAAGAATCTCTTCGCAAATATGGCAGTTTGTTTTGTAGAAATACACTGCTAAATATTGAGTGTCTTCTACCATACGCTCCAGCATTATTCTGGTGATTAATTCAATACGGTCTTCTGTACGTTGTTGAATCAACCATTGGAGAACTTCTTCTTCTTCCATGATATCTCCATCAAAGATACCTCCAGTTCCTTCTTCAAAATACATCAGTACAGGAAAATCTACAGCTCCGAATTTTTCCGCTACTTTAGTATCATGGGTTTTCACGAAGGTGATGCCATGCCGTTCGCAGTCATCGTCAATATTCTCAAGTTCTTCAAGTATTTTGGTACATTGCTCACATTCCTCTGAATCTACAACACAATGTAACTTTTTAGATAATATGGAATCATTTGATGATAGACCCTGAGAGATTGAAACATGGTGGGACTATGGGTGAAATAAAATAGCAATGGGAAGCAATAGATTCCTACAATCGTGCAATATGCGTGTGTTCGTGTAATGTTTCTCAAAATGGGAATCAACATCTACTGTTCAAAAAAACTTGCAGGCAATGCAACGCATCCAAATCTACTACTGGGACAGAGAAAACCAATATTGTCGAATGCATGTTTTGTACCGTTCAGTGCCGTATCGTCTGCTGCGTTTGCCTTGTGTTTATGGCCCTTTTTTGGCGTTTTCCTGCGCAGCGCTGCACAAATCGCACAGCGTCTTGTTCCCTGTATAGAATATAAATTTAAAGGTCTCATGGGGGGCAGGTGGTTGGCACTTGTTTTGTTTTTAAAAATTTCTCATATTAAACATAAACTAGTTGAGTAGATTTGAGAGATTTGTAATTATTAAATACTTACAGAAGTAAACAGCCAAAGCTTCTTCTTCTTCAATCATACTAATCAAATCATTGCCACCGGTTGCTTCAATGACGTCTCCAGCGGGATCCTGTTGTGTCATCAACCACTGAAGTATCTGCTGCTCATCGTACAAATCACCCGCATAGATAACAGGTTCTTTTGAGCCGGTTTTAAAGAACAAAATCGCTGGTAATGCAAATACGCCATATTGTTTCGCTAATTCCTTATCGTCGATTTTCACGAAATTGATACCGGCTGAATCTGCTTCATCATCAATGTGCTCAACCTCCAGCAGCACTCTGGGGCATTGCTTACAGTCGGCGCTGTCTAAAACAATTGCTTTCATAAATTAACAATAATATTGCACTAGGTACACTCACATAAGAAGACGGCAACGTAATCAGAGCTCTTTTTGATCTTCTCAAACATTTTACGGTTGACTTTTTCGATGTGATCAGTGAGTTCCATGTTTTCCGGGTCGGTGAGCCAATCGAGCAACTCTTCCTCGTCATCAATGTCGCCATCATAGTTGATGAGCTTGCCTTTTCTGAAATAACTGATACCTGGTGGGTTTCTGAAACCGTATTTCTTCGCCATTAACAAATCGCTGTTTTTGACGATTTTGATGCCGTATTCAGCTGCTTCGTCATCAATTAACTCAATATGTCGTAGAATTCTAGGACTGTCTACATCTTCATCATTATCTGCAATAAAATAAATTATTTTAACTCTAGATAAATATAAGTTATTATAAATTCTTACAAAATATGACAGCGAGGAATTCTTTTGTTTCAATGTATTTAAACAATTGCTCCCTGTTGATCTCCTGAATGCTTTCGTCGTTTTTCTGATCCATCATCCAATCCAAAACCTCGTTTTCGTCCAACAAATTACCTAAGAGTGAAAAGTTAAGCCGGCAGAAGCTAGTACAACATCTGATACAACATTGATTCCGAGAGAATGGTATTAGACACAGAAAAAGACAGAGAATGGCTAGATAAACAATTTCATCATTGACTTAAATAAAAAATCAAAGATTTTATTTGAATAACAATTATATAGATAGTGTACAACGATATTATGTGCGTGTGTTTTGTGATTATTGCTCATTGATGTTTCTTTTTTAAAATTGGGCTTTTATTTCATTAACAATACATCCCGAATGCAATTGTAACAATATTAAGTTGAGGATTAATAATAACGAACGATTAATTGGAACAAGAACACGTCGAGCATTTGGTCGTTGTTTGTTTTTTCGTTAAGGCAGGTATAAGCTTGTTGCAATTGTATTCGAGCCTCAAAGCACTACACATGATTTTAACAACAATATCAACAACAATAAATTAAGTGTCAACAATTTAGTTTTCTTATACCGAAATGTAAAACAAATCAAAACGCGTGATAAGTGAACACAACTCGTCATCACTCAGAAATAAAAATAAAACAAGAAGCGTGAATTGATGAGCAAACCAGGGGCGAACTGAAGCGCTACGGCGTTAATAGAATCAATGGGGTGGTTGGGGGTTGCAATACAGGGGGTGGGTGTGTGCATGTGATTAACGGTTATTTACGTTCAGTCCGTCCCTGTCGAATGGATACCTAAAGAATGCAGTTATGTCGGCCTACAGTCCAGATAGAAATGCTTCACTTGGCTTCATCATGTAACATTCGGTTGATTAGAGTGTTTACATTCTACCACCACCACATATATTTACCGGTCCAGCCCTTTCCTTTGCCTGCTTTCTTGTCGGACTTGGTCGCGACTTCTTTGCCTCGAATATTCCTGGTGGGCGGCTCGGGTCTGCTCTGAATCTGTCTAGTCTTTAGGGTGGTCTTTTGCGCCGGTTGGATTTTCGCGATTTTACTGCCGCGCACCGGTTTGCTCGGACAGCATTGGTAGGGTTCTAAACTAGCCGATTTGGGTAGTTCATTCTTGCCACCTAATCCAACGTAGAAACAGCCATCGCCTGCATCAGGAAACACAATGTCAGATATCACCCTTTATATCACTTGAATTTTGTTTGTTTGTTGGTTGTTGGTTTGATTAGCAAAACACGACGCGATTGGAAAAGTAGCGGTTAGTGATTAGAGAGATGTATAGAAAGTGAGAACACGGTACAAGAGGAGTGAGTCTGACACTATGCCCTGCATGCAGCGCGGAGGGAAAGACATGCACAGACAGAGGACGCCCACTCCAAGAAGCGTCTACGACATTTTGTTCTTGATTCTTTGCTTCAGGTTTTGCGGGGAGCCAATGCTACTTCATCCATTTTCCAAATTCTCTACGGCGTTTACCTGAAGATTTCTTTGAGCCTCTCAAAATTCTACTAGCTAAATCATCATCGTCGTCATCATCATCGTCATCATCATCATCATCTTCGTCGTCATCGTCATCATCATCTTCTTCATCATCATCGTCATCATCGTCATCATCATCGTCATTATCTTCATCGTCATCATCTTCATCGTCATCGTCATCATCATCGTCGTCATCGTCATCGTCATCATCGTCGTCATCGTCATCTTCATCGTCATCGTCGTCTTCATCTTCATCGTCATCACCTAAAGACATCATAGCAACCATGCAACGCTCATGCAATGTCACACACAGGCGCCTCATAGCGCAAATAAGCCAAAATATGCCGATAATGAGCGTGACAGATAACAAAACTTTGGTTTTAGACACATTGTGAGATCAACGAGCAAATAATTTTGAATTTTGACACGAGAAAAATCTGACGAATTACGAATTGCGACTGAGTACATATACTTAAAACGAAATCTTACTTTTTTGTTCAACTAGCCATTCCAGTACTTTCTCCTCTTTTTTAAGGTTGCCTTAAAAATAATAAATAATCGGACGATTATTTCACCAATGGAAATTCAATGAAGTATGCAAAATGTGAATTCGTATCGAAGCCGGATTGTCTCTTACCGTCAAACATAATCGGCACCCCAGTTTCATAATACACTAAAGCGGGAAAACTAAAGATGCCGATTTCGGATGCCAACTTTGAATCCTTCGACTTGACAAACTGAATGCCATGCTTATCGGCATCATCGTCGATGGTTTCCAACTCTTCCAGGACGGCACTACACTTGTCGCAATCATCAGAATAGAAGAACACGGCAAGGTGTTCAACATCATTGATGAGAACCTTTAAGGTACATGGTGTTGAACAGTCGCAATCATTAAACATTCAACCGATTGAATTTTAAATTCCTTAGATCATTAAAACACTAACCTGCAGTGTTTTTCTGTCAACGTTTTCGATTACATCCGGAGCGGATTCGTGCAGATCCAAAACCCATTCGAGAATTTCTTCCTCATGCATCAGATCACCTGGATAAATTTCTCTGAATCTATGTCGGTAGAAGACGAGAGTAGGGAGGCTGGAAAGATCATAGGCTTTATCAATACCATCATCTGAGGTCTTTACAAAACTGATATCTTTTTCCTCGCATTCATCATCGATATTTTCCAGTTCCTGAAGGATTTTCTGAGACTTCTTATCACCTTCCTTATCTACAAACACAATGCATCAAATTTTTAAATATTTATCTTTGGTTTTTATCATTTACTCACAGAAAAACACAACCACATGATCATTCTTCATCAAAACATCATCCAACATTTTCTCGTTGACTTCCTCAATGCGATCGGGAATTTCCAAAGTATCTTCATCTGTCAACCAAGCTAACACTTCATCTTCATCTTCAATGTCCCCAGAATAGAGCAATGGTTCCTTATTACGGAAGAATACAAGTTTAGGGAAACCTTTAATGCCGTGTTTCTTGGCCAAAGCTAGATCTTCAGTTGTGACAAAAATAATTCCGGTCTCATCAAGCTCATCATCAATGTTTTCCAATTCTTCAAGAATATCGTCACACTCTTCACCTTCTTCACACTTTCCACTGAAATATACCACTACATATTCGTGTTCTTCAATTAAATCTTGCAGAATCTCGTCGGTGACTTCCTCAATCGTTGCCGAAGATTTTTGTTCAATTAACCATTGCAAAACTTCGTCTTCATTCATCAGGTCACCTTCATACATTGATGGAATTTTGTTTTCAAAGTACATTAATGTTGGTAAATGATCAATGCCATATTCTTTAGCTTCGGCGTCATTATCAATGCGTACGATGACAATACCTTCTTTTTCTAGTTCGTCATCAATGTTTTCCATTTCGTTGAGGACTCGAATGTCTTGTTTATCATCTTTGTCATCTAAAATTTGAGTTTTATAAGAATATAAGCATAGATTTTATAGAAAATATTATCTTACAGAACAAGACAGCAAGATAAGGTGTGTTTTCGACAAGACGCTCTAACATCTCATCAGTGATGTCTGGAATCTCAGCATGACGCTTCTGATGAAGTAACCATCCTAGCAAAGCGTCTTCATTCAATAAATCACCCTCGTAGACATGGGGGATCTTTTTCTCGAAAAATACTAAACTAGGAATAGTGTCAATGCCGTATTCTTTAGCTTCTTCTTCATCATCAATCTTTACGAAGGCGATGTCGTTTTGGTCGCACTCGTCATCAATGTTTTCTAATTCGGATATGATCTTTTGGCTTTTCTTTTGATCTTTGTCGTCTAAAAACCCAAAATTTTAAAATTTTTATAATTTAAATTTAATTATGATAAACTTACAGAATAGTACGGCAACATGTTGTACTTTATCCAAGATAATCTCAAGCATTTCATCATTGATATCTTCAATTTCATCACTCTTGGCCTGATGTTCAAACCATTTCAGTACTTTCTCCTCTTCTTCCAAATTTCCTTCATAGAGTGTAGGAATACCTTTCTCAAAATAGACTAAAGATGGGATTTTCTCAATGCCGTATTCTTTCGCCTCGTCCTCATTATCAATCTTGACGAACACAATACCCAACTTATCGCATTCGTCGTCGATATTTTCAAGTTCGTTGAGGACACGCTGAGATTTCTTGTCATCATCATCGTCTGTAAAACAATAAACTCTTAATAAAACCAGAAATTTAAAATTTTTGTTGGCATACAGAATAAGACAGCAACACTCTTCCCATCATTGATCAATTTATCAAGCATTTCATCAGTGACGTCCTCGATTTCGTCCTTTTCGAGCTGCTGCACGAGCCACTCGAAAAAAACTCCTCCTCGTGCTCCAAGTCACCGTCGTATACGTTCGGAATTCCTTTTTCGAAGTAGACAACAGCTGGCAGTGCATCGATGCCGTACTCTTCAGCCACGCCATCATCGTCAATCTTTACAAACTGAATGCCATGTTTATCACAATCATCATCGATCTTTTCTAGTTCTTCTAAAACTTGCATTGAGTCTTCATTACCATGATCATCTACAATAACAAATTAGTTAAAATGTTGTAAAATTAAATTCTTAGTAAGTAATTACAGAATAACACGACTAAATTGTCTACACTGTCAACGAGTGTAGAGAGCGTTTTACTGGTAACATCTTCAATGATATCTTCATCATCCCCAGTGCTTTTCTGTGTGACGAGCCATTCCAAAACATCTTCCTCGCGTGTTAATTCACCTAAAAATTTAGTTTTAGAATATTGAGGTTTTTATGTTGTTTATATTGTTTATACCTTCAAAAATAATTGGTGTTTGATGTCTGTAATAAACAAGTGCAGGCAATTGTCCAAGGTTATATTCTTCAGCTAATTCCTCATCGTTTATTTTAACAAAACCAATTCCCAATTGATCCGCTTCGTCGTCAATGTTTTCCAGTTCTTGCAAAACTTTGGAGCACTTCTTGCATTCGGGTTTATCTAAACACATAAATACCAATGTTATTTCCTTACAGAATAATCTGTGGAACACAATTTAGGTCACCATGGAAGAAAGACGCAAGAAATTATTACAACTGGCATTTAATATGACGAAAAACGCAACTTTGCGTTCTTCGACGGTGCACGATGAGCGCTTTATTTTTAGAGCAGCTGACATTTTCGCAATCGCTATCGCAATATTATTTTAAAGTCTCCATTTGCGTTTCTCCGACCACTAGCTTAGATTTCATGCAATCAAGAAGTCCGTGCAGTCACAAGTCAGGCAAATCCTAAACCATTCCAAAAGTGTTTCAAATCCAAGACAACAACTAGTCTACTAGATTCAAAAATCGCTTGGGCTTGTACACAAATGCAGAAAATATCAGAACGAATAAATGCGATGAGACGTGGCGGGCAGAGGGGCAAAGAGGGGGCATTGGCAAGGCGTTTGTCATACTCTAATTAGTGGCGTGTGTTTTTCTGTGAACATTTTTTTCGTCTGCCGAGGAGTGTTTGTTGTGTTAAAGGGTTGAATGCGCGCGATTTATCATGGAGTGTTTAGAGTTTAGAGAAAAAGTGTGGGAACGTGCCGTCACATGCGTGGAGCTGATATAGCAAAAATTTGCTGCAAGAAAAACAATGCGATGCAATTGTATAGTAAATTTTGGTCTCATTTTAAGAAAAAAATAATTTAACATTTGTTTACCAAACGATTGCTTGCGTTGTGATTCTTTTCAAATGATAAATTTCAGCCCAACATGGCAGCTACTTACTTACGCCCCCTTTGGAACAAGTATCTGAATCCGGACCTGAAACATTCGCACAACCACACGACTTGTTTGTGTTGCTACAATTTTAAGATTTTACCTTAAGTGCTAGATTAGTCACAACATATAAAAGCATTTTTGATATTTTTTGGGCCATTTTATACGCGGCATGTATGTAGATTTTGGGAGGGCTTCGAATCGTCGAAAATGACTTTTATTATTGTGTTTTTTCTACTTGTTATAATCTACGAAAATACTTACAGAATAGGACGGCCACATAATCGGTGTCCTCGACGATTTTTTCCAGAATTCTCGAATTTACCTCTTCTATTCTGTCTGGTAAGTCCATGGCTTCCAAACTTGTCAAAAAATCGAGCACGTTTTCCTCGTCCATCAGGTCACCTAAAATTACAGATATTTTCATTAAACGCCTCACACATGGCGTTTGGGTCATGTTGATCTGCTCGTGACCTGATTTTCATATATTTAGTTAAGCAAGCCGCTAAAAACCACAAAAATTGAGCAACCTAACGAGCAAATTGCATTGCATATTAAATTTCTGTTGTTGTTTGAAGTACATTGATTAAAATTGTGTTTGCAAAATCGATTTTCCATGTAATTTCCGAAGTTTGCTTTGAACTAGTCTGCAGTTGCATAACAATGGGCCTATTACGAAACCAATATCTGTGTGATTTTCATGGTAACCACCCACAGAATGATGACGATCAGGTGGCAAACGTGAGTGGCTTGGGCCACTTTTTTGTTTTTGCTCCTTTCAGCTATTTTTACAGCGCCCAAAGAGCTAACACAATAAAATGTACTATTCTAGGCGGCTAGGCAGCATTCGTTTATTTTTAGCCCGCATCGAGACTCTGCGATGTCTAAAAACTCGTACAACTCCGCGCAGCATCAGATCTTTCAAAGGCGGCCTCATTAATCCGCGAACAAATCATGTTCGAATCGTATCGGGACGATATCCCTACCCAGCAATCATTCAGTTCAGCTAGAAGTCTTCCGCTTGCATAATCGATGATCATCACAAAGGGAATCTCACATGTAAATAGCTTTATGAACGACTGTCGGATATGTTGCGGTCAACGGTTTTCCATCCGTAGAAAATGTGAAGTGTGGAATTTAATTCAGAACTTTCGGACGTGCGACCAGGCTTGGCTAGGCCATATTAAAATTCTTGCCCGTGCCAAATTTTGGCCGAGTTTCAAAAAAGCACGGAACATGATAATTCTATTCGGAAAGAGGCTTTGCGACCGAATGTTAAATACAGAATGAAGCAATCCTGTTAGGAGAGAAGTAGAAAGAGACCTTCGTAGATGATTGGTTGTTTCTCCCTGAAGTAGGTGAGCGCCGGAAAGTTCTTGATGCCATACTGCTTGGCCAGCCGCTTGTCGTTGATCTTCACAAAGTCCACGCCAAACGAATCTGTGTCGTCGTCGATCTGCTCCAACTCCTCGAGCACCTTGTCGCACGTGGTACAGCTGCGAGCGTCTGCAAGTTAATACGGAGAATAGGTTACGCAAAAGCCTCAACAGTCTGTAAATATTTTGATTTTCTCATTATGCTGTTTTACGAGTCAATTCATACTTTGGCAGCGCACGCATTCGCCCGTTGCATTTGATACAAGGAAAGTAACCGAGCGAGCATCAGGGCACCGTGTGATTCAGACGTTGCGAATGTCCCACGTACGAAAAACAGTCGAAGCCTTTTAATTTTAGAATTTCGCGCGCAGCAGAATTGTACAATTTATTAGGACATAAATGTGTCGCCGAGTGGAAAGTGCTTCTGTGCTTCTGCAAACAAGAGGCGGCCGATTTTTGATATGGCATCACTAGACAAGTCAAAAATAGGTGAAGGATCATGATTGTACGTGGCGGCAGGCGACATGGTTCAATTTATCTAAGCGGGTTTTTTGTGTCTGCGTGAAAGTTTGGCGAGTCGAACATTTTTATGTAATTGTCGCTGCTTACAGTAAAAATAAAATGTGTTATTGGCACGACGACTATGTCGCTATGCGACTCTGAGGCATTAGCTGCTTAACAGGTGTGCCCAGTCCGAATAAGATTTATGCTCATGGGCGCCATTAATGCGATTCCGATATGAAAACATCGGGAGGTGTTGATGTGCGGGAGGATGGCGCGATAGACGTGCACGTGCCCGTCGTGGTTAGCGTGCGAGAGATCACTGGACGCCGAGCCAAATCGGGATATGGCATCCAAGTACGATACCCGTCTATCCCGAAATCCATTCGTACACGCAGGACGCACACACGCACAGTACGCGCACGCGGGCGGCCGGTATAGTGTTACATTTGTTGAGCTATGCTTGCGCCAATATGGCGGACTGACTTCCGGCCGCACAAGAGGTTGGCTACTTACACCAGAACACCGCGACGTAATCCTTGTCGGCCAGGACACGCTCCAGCTGCTTGGCCGTGACCTCCTCAATGACGGGATCATGATGCGCCGCTGGGCCGCGTTTGGCCGTCACCACAGCCACGAGTAGCAGCCACCACCACATGCTGCCGTCCACTACTGAGAAAAGAGCAATCCGCCGCTCGGCGTCGCGACGCTGCGCCGCCATGCCCCACCTGCTGCCACCACCACCGGGCGTTGGATCTAAAGCTGGATGCCTCGATGCTACTGCATACCATCTCGTGGGCTACCCACAAGACCAATCACTCGGGAACATAAAAATAAAAATTAAAACAAACTGAATAATGACATAAACATCACACTATGACTATATAAATAGTCCATTACAATTTATTTACCCGTTAATCTATTGTACTCATGTAATTTACACTCAGGCAACATATCATGTTTGTAAAAACATAATCTGGTAGTTTTAGGGCATCTTACATATCAGTTACCCTTTTGTCACGTCTATAAATAGAAAGAAACTATAGAAATGCTCATAGTTCTCTTTAAATCATCATATTTACTGCATAAAAATAGTAAAACAATGACAGAATCAAAGTCATGCATTATAATCGGATGTGGTTTGGTAAAAATTTAAATTTATTTATAAATTGTTAATTTCAATAGAAATTATTTCCAAGGTGGGTTCCCTAGCCGCTCATTTTATGCTTAAACTTGGTTATGTAGTAACCATTTATGAGAAACGTGAAGATCCGCGTATGTCAAAACCGTCGAAGGTAGATCAATCAATTTGGCGATGTCCAACCGCGGGCGGAAATCGCTCAGATTTGTTGGCATGGAGGAAGACATTCTAAAGTTAGCCGTGCCAATGAAAGGACGCTACATTCATTCCAAATCAAAGAAGTGTGAATCTATACTGTATGATTCAATAAACAATGAGGTAACTACCATTTTACATTTTATAAACAAATATTTTTTTTATTTTTGTCTTTATAGTGTTTATATTCAATATCTCGCAACCAACTGAATCTGCAATTGATCAAAGCAATTGAAAACAATGACAACGTACGCTTGCACTTCCAACACAAACTGATTCAGGTCTTTCCGGATGAAGGGACTGTCACAATCCGCACGTATGTGTTTTGTGTTATCAGCAGTTGCGTGTATGTTTCACCGGTGTGAATTGTGTTTGTTCCAGCGCGGAAAATGTTCACGTTACGAATCGCGCCGATATAATAATAGCATCCGACGGTGCCTTTAGCGGAGTGCGAATGGAGATACAAAAGTCCTGTCTGCTTGATTACGCGCAGACCTACATCAATCACGGTTACGTGGAGCTGACGATAGCGAAAGAGCACGGTTTGCGTATGACGCAGAATCATTTACACATTTGGCCCAGAGGAACATTTATGATGATTGCATTACCAAATTTTGATCATTCATGGACTGTCACCTTGTTTATGCCTTTTAACATTTTTGAAGCACTTAAAACCAAAGAAGATTTGATTGATTTCTTTAAAGATACATTTCCAGACTTTTTTGATTATACAACACCAGAAGATTTAGCTTCTGATTTCTTTCAGAAGAAACCAATGCCATTGGTGTCTGTAAAATGTTCACCGTTTCATTTTGGTAGAGTTGTTTTACTTGGCGATGCAGCACATGCAATGGTACCATTTTATGGCCAAGGAATGAATGCAGGGTTTGAAGACTGTCGAATTCTCTACGATGTATTATCTCTTTTGATGTGGAAGAAGCACTGGAACGTTTTACAAAATGGCGGCGTGAAGATGCGCATGCAATTTGTGATCTTGCAATGTACAACTACCTAGAAATGCGTAATTTAGTATCAACAAGAAGTTACCGCATCCGAAAGTTCTTCGATAACATCGCATTCAGACTAATGCCCAATACTTGGATCCCTTTGTACAATTCAGTGTCATTCACTGACATGGGCTATAAAGAGTGTTGTGACAACAGAGCCTGGCAAGATAAGGCAAGTAAAACACAAACATATATTAATAGCTCTTCAAATTTATGTATAAAACCATTTTATAGATTATTCGCAACGTCTTCGTATCATTTGCTTTAATCATACCCGTAATCTTATTACTCCTCGTGATCATCAATGCTTAATGTGGAATCCAGTTGTATAACACTTAATATACTATAAATGAATAATCGTACGATAACAATACAAAATTATATATACACCTTTAATAACGTCCGATGAGGAGGACTACAAGATTTCCAACTTGACGTTCTCGGCATCTTTCAAGTAAGTGCGTTTTTGTTCTTCGAACAAATCAATCAGGCACTGTTTAAATTTCGCGTGGATTTCATCAACTTGCTCGGGAGTTGGATTTTGGATTTTTGGGATTTCCATTGGTCGTCCCACTAAAATATAAATATGATTTTAGTTATATCACAATAATGATTGAATAAAAATGTGATTTACCAACTGTTGTTACCGGTCTACGCCTGGGGACCAACCCAAAATTATATTGGAAAAACCCTCGACCAACTGGAATAGCCGGAGCAATACCAATATAATTCTTCAGCCATTCCTGCAGTGAGCGTACCCATGATCCCTCTGGATTGTCAACCTGATCAAACACATCAGTCTCACCAAACGAAAACACAGGCACCAGGGGGCTTCCGGATTTCAACGCGCATTTGATAAAACCCTTGCGTTTATTCAGTATAATTTTATACTGTCCAGGCCGACAATAAAAGGCTTCCGTAGCACCACCCACCATCAGAATACCAATATTACCACCGTGTGGCTCATCCAACACGTGTTCAATACTCTTGGCTGAAGCTTTACAACCACCAAGGCCGAAAACCATCTCACGAAAAAATGGCGCATCAAAGTGTTGACCAAGTGTCATTATCATACGCTTGTGATTAGGAAAAACTCTTTGAAGCCTCCGTAATTGGTTCCGAATGCCACGAACGGCCCCGTGCACAGCATGCCGTGTGGAAAACAACAAAACAAATAATTACGTTTTGGATCAAGGTCCATGAACGACACGCGTTCCAATTTCACTGGGAAATAGTCACGGAAATAACGCCACCATGTCCAACTTCGCACCCATTCGGATTTACGCCCGCCTTCTTCACATGTGTCTTTGTCAAGGGTTTTAATCCAGAGGATGTATATCAGTGTCAACCACCAGTATGATGTGAAAAATATTAGATATGCAGTGAGAATCCACATCATGAATCCACCGAATGCCATTATCACGAACCAACATCCCGCTGCGAGGGTTTGCAACCTTCGTTGCAGTGGGACATTCAATGGAGCCCAGTGGATTCCAAACAACTCCATTATTCTAAAATAAAAACATTTTTTTGTTATTTTTTAATTATAACTTTTAAATAAAAATTAACTCGCCAGTAAAAAAAGTAATCTTAGAGTGGAATTTTACCAATGATTATATTGCGATTCAAAATGATGTATAATTATATTTAAAACAATTCGTTTACTTCGTCATTGTCCCATTGACAGTAGTGATATATGTATATGTTTACTCACAATGTGTATTAAGTAACGATGACTAACAATAATATTAAACGACGACTGTTTTACCGCGAATTTGTATTTTTAGCCATCCAACACCTAGTACACTAGCTGTGAAACTTTGAAATGTAGAAATTGAGAAAGTCTGCACTTTCACGTTCGATATGTGGATTTAAATATTGCATGCACTGCAAGTTGTCGGTGTTTATAACTCGTTATAAACGCGTTATCTCCGCGAAAACCAGACGAATTCAAAATATGTTGTTGTCGCGAAAGCTTTGTGTTGACGTCCAATTAGAATCGATTTCAAATCACGTATGTATGTGAATGCACGATGCAAATGCATATATTCTTTGTTTTGCGCATCTTATATAACGGTGATCGGTTGTAACCACGTCGCGCGCCTCAAAGTCTTTGACTACGTCTAAATATAGGAAGTGGTCAATGTTCCATTCGAGGTAACTAACAAATTAACGGAAATTAAAATTGTTTTTTTTTTTTGCTTTTTAATTTTATGTTCTGGCCGTTGAAACTGGATTCCCGTTTTGTATCATCCCGTCCCCCTTGTACAAGTTGTAAAGTGTACACTACGAGCATTGTTGCATCGGCGGTCACGTTGCCGGCGCGCATGTCGAAAGCCAACGTATCGTGAAAACTCACAAACTCACCTTGAACTCGCCGGCGCGCAAGAAGTAACCAAGCCGTGTGTCTCGGTTGCTTGTCTCACGCGAAGAGTGTTTGTTCTCAATCGTGCTCACAGTGCAAGCGCATCACACACGATTATTTCGAAGATATTTTCCGTGCGAAAAAGCTTACTTTACTCGCTACCTACGAGAATGGCTAACGACGTCTTGACGCACTCGCGAACTCGCGACCAACATCGTCGCGTCGCGTTTGTATTTTAAAATAAATACGCGCGATACAACACGTTGCTAGAGACGCCCCACTCCGAGCACAAACTCACACGCGACCTGCTTGTAGGTATTTCTACATGCATCGGAAGAACCTTATTCCGGTATTGTGTGTGGTGGTGTGGAAAACAAGCGCGCACGATTCGTACATTAATAATTTCCCATTTGGAAATGCGATATAATTCACCGATTTCCAAACGTAACATGTTCGTTATCAGCAGTGGCATGTATCGTAAATAATGTAAATCACTATTTGCATACGATGACAATACAATACGGTGAATTCAATGTAAGACTGCGAAATTTAAATCAAAAAGTTCATCGGACGATATTTGCCGCTCCAATTGTGAGTGATGCGTGTGATGCGCACGTAATAGTTTTTATTTTTAATTTTCGCTTTATTGTATTATTTTTACCTTTAATCTGATTATCAATATTGACGACGATGAGACCGCTTCCTATCTGATTGACCTATAAACTTTCAATTATGCTGTGCTTGTACCTCTAGTACCAAACTATTGATTTAATTTTGTGATAGTTTTTATTCACGCTGCAAACCCAAAACTTTGCATGTAGATAAACACGAGTCGTTTATAATTGTAGTTGTTATCGTGAAATATGTAAATTCATGATTTCAAAATGGTGAAATTCGAATAATATGTTGTCAATTATCAATAAGCGTTATGTTGAATGAGTACATGTAATAAAGCGCCTTTTCTTATTTAAAATAACAATAAAAACTTCAATTTACGTCCTTTACTCTATAATTTTATATTTGTGTCTTTAGGTTAATGGAAAATTAAAGCTTACAACTTAATTTCTTTGTAAATCATTGGACACTTTCTTTTCCTTGTAGAAAATTAAATATTTAGTGTAGTTACATCAACGTCTTTGCTCTCTAGACATAATTTGCATGATTATCTAACCGTATTACGAATGTAAATGTTTAACTCTTCAAAACACCAAAAAACTTCTACTTCATTAATTTGAAGTAAAATTATATTAAAAAAGTGATGTTTTTGTATTGTTTGCGTTTAAAGAATAAAATTATGCAATTTATGACGTTAATTAATAAATTAAACTTTGAATTTTACACAAAAAATATTTAATGATGTAATTTGTGTTTAAACAACGAAAAAACGTTGGAGTTTATAGAAAAACCACAAAATAAACATGTCAATATCAAGAATCACTTAAATCGTGCGATAGTAGCATACCATATCATTATTTACACTGTAAATAGTTTTACATACACTCAACGTTTATATAATAACAATCGTAAAACAGCTTACCTAAATATTGCTTCGAGGATCACCATGATGTTGAGGTAATCAATATGCTGATCAAAACAATATAAAACTCGTGACGCACATACTCTTACTAAGCCGAAAAATCACCGACTGACCAACAATATCAAATAGAAGTAATTTTAAAAGAGTGCATTCCAACATTGTGCACACTCGACTTTGCCTAGCACACTACGCGATAAGAAACTCGATAAGATTGTGATCAAATCGACCTCGAGTTGTTTGATGTGTTTTCGATATCAACAGGCAAGTTTACTATTGATAAAAGCAATGAAATATTAATAAGACGTTGGTACGTTGAAAGTACAACCTACAATCTATTTCAAAACATTATGTTCATGTTCATGGCGATGAATCAATATAAAAATAAAAAGTCGATATTGAAATTATGATGTGTTTTGTGTTGCCTACGTTTGTGGACGGTTTTGTGATGAATTCAAAATTACGTGGGTGGTTGCCAACCGCCAAACGCTTTTTCGAGCTCTTTGGCAACAGCGAAACAGAGTTTGTCCTGTCTAGGTCCTGCGACAACCTGAATTCCAATTGGCATGCCATTTTTGTCAACACCGAGCGCAACATGCGTGCTCGGTATGCCCAAATTGTTAAATATACTTTGGTACTGTACGCCACTCAGCTTAAAAATAAATTGGTTGTGTTGATATGCGTTTGTAGGGAATGTTGGATAGAGAAACACTCCGTTGGTACCCAAATGTGTCTAAAAATTAAATATCATTCAAAAACATTCTATTATAAGTATTTAACTTACTTTGAATTCAATTTTTAGTTCTTCCAACTCTTTTAAGTAAAGTTTTCTTTTATAAGGAAACACAAAACCTCGCACACAGCGCAAAAATGAAAATATTAATCCATTAAATGAATATTTTGAACATCCAAACGGATATTTTAATAATTCAAACAATAACCAATCATTTTGCTAAAATTAAACTTGTTGTTATGATTTTAAATACAAAAGGTGACCATACAAACTTTGTCGGATATTGGGTTGCCTAGTATGTTAGGTAAATCATTCAAATACAACAACACCGCCGCAGTAATTTCCATCGTGTTGCTCATACTAAATTTAAATTGGTCCACATTTGCACCGCAGACGTGCTGCAAATGTGTGACGCATTTATTTATAGCCTGTTTAATTTCTGAATCCACAGCAACGTGCGCAATGCTTGCGCCTGCGTTGAACATGTGGAAAATGTTCAATGATTTTAAATCAACCTGCAATTTAAATATATAATCAAATTTGTAAGAATAAAAAACAAACACAAACATTACCTGATCATCCAATCCTAATTCAAATGAATGATCTGTTAAGACCTTGAAAACCAAGGGTAAGTCTTCTGCGTAACGCACCATTGGTCCAACAGTAAAATTAAATTTACCCATGTCGCTCTGCGCATTAGGAAATGACCTTCAGAAGCCACTAAATCTAAAAACAAAATCAATTTCATTTAATTGCAATTGGCGCAGCATTACCGCACGTGTTTCATTTTATTGATAGTTAATTAAAGAAAACAACAATTTTTTTGTTGAGTTTTCTTACTTGCGGTGCACTTATGCGCAAAAACTCCATTCAACAGCGCAGGTAAACGTAATGAACCTGCAACATCAGATCCTATTCCTATTATAGAAGCACCCGCTCCAAGTAATGCACCCTCTCCTCCAGAAGAACCCCCAGGACTATATTTTATATGATATGGGTTGTTTGTTCGACCAGTAATACGATTATTACTCTCCCAGTATAAACAAAATTCCGGGGTGTTGGAAACAAGAAGAATAATTCCTCCAGCGCGCCGGATGCGTGCAACAGCAGCGCCATCTTGTGCAGCACGAAATCCTTCACGTTGTAATGATCCACAGGCTTGGCTCATTCCTATATTCATTAAATAATTGTTTAATTACATTTGTAGTTGTGTTGTACATTTACTGATCGAGAAATGCACTTAAGTCAAATATTTGTTTACGTGTTTTACTGAAATACCTTTCACTCCACATGATTCTTTGATTGTTATAGGGACACCCAGTAATGGTTGTGTTTTCTCTAGTTGTACTGGATCTATAATAGTTTTATTTAAATATTCGTCCACAGCTTTGGCGTCCTGTAATGCATCTTCAAATCTATCCTCGACTACAGCGTTTAATATTGGATTTACTTCTTTAATGCGCTCGATATATGCGGTTACAACTGTTTCGCTTTTCATCTGTGAAAACAAAATCAAAATATATTTAAAAATTAATAAAAAATTAAGAAATTAAAATAGCATTTTTTGTGAAACGTTTTTTTAGTTTTTATGACTCGTTTCGCGCATTATTCCGACTATATTTCAACCTTCAATTAACTCTTTTTGCGCATATCATGTTTTTTTTAAAGTAAAGTAGTTTTAGTTTAAATATTAGATATACCTCACGCTTCCTGATTTTGTCCGCTAATGTAGTCGCGCTCAATAGAAGAATGTGGTTTTTGATCGGTGTAATTTTCGTCGTTTTTCTCCACGAAACAAGCCAAAAAATCGGAATAACCAGCCATGAAATAATGCGCATCAAGAATAGAACCAGCCTCAGTAAGATCTCCATGTTCAAGTTGAAAACCTTTCTTCTAATGCACTCTCTGCATTGACCTTATTAATCCTTAAGTTTCTCTTTGATTTTCACTGCAATAATGACGCGCCACAATACAATAAATGCAGTTTGCATCTAATTACCGATCGCAATTTGATTAAAAAGTCATTCGACGCCGAAGACACGCACCGTATGTATTGCAAAAAATATAAAAATTAGCATTTTGTACTCCCGCCGTGAATAACAAACTAACAAGACATTTACATGTTTACTTTTCACTTGCTTCGAGTGATTTGATTTGCGCGATAAGCACCGAGCAACTATTGACGTGCCAATACGAATTGTTTATAAACTTGGAGATTCGTCCGTTCATCCCTACCTACAGTTCACTCCCGTTTGTTGGACAACATTTGTTTGATTTATATTTTGTGTAAAATCATTATAATCATTATAATGCGCACGTTGTGTCTATAATTTACTCAAATAAATGACTTTACTTTTTGGATCATTGATTTTTCAATTCATTAAAAATCAGTTTTATTGCTTTCTAGAGCGCTTGTATCTAGTTAGGTCAGGAGTGACACAAGTTTATCAAGTTTTGTATAAAGTTATAGATAAAAGAATCAAGTAAATTTATAAATAAACGAAATAAAAACAAAAAATGTCTGTAATTTTTCTTTATTATGGGTTTGGTTATGTTTACTCAGGACACGCCCATCCTCCAAAACTTTTCTCCAGGGCTTCCGCAACAGCAAGACTCAATCGATCTTGTTTGGGTCCGGCAACCACCTGTACACAAACATATTGCGTGCACAATATAATAACCAAGTGATTTGCATAAATAGATAATTACCTGAATACCAACTGGTAATCCATCTTTATTCAAACCAATAGGTACCTGAGTACTTGGGCATCCAAGAATATTAAAAATCATCGCGTATGTAATGCTTGATATCCTCGTAAAGATCTGGTAGTGCTGGATTGCAGGCGTTGAAAATGTTGGATATAATAATACAGAGTTGTCGCTCAATTTGTTCTGTAAATTAATATCAATGATAAATGAATAACCTTGTTCTTGTTATACTTGTTGTTATATGTTACCCAAACAATTTTCTGCAGTTCTGCCATTTTCAGCTTGTAGTATGGTAAATGTCTTCGTGGTAGAAACGCATTGTAACGGATGACTAATTCCGCGAGTAGTAGTTGAATAGACAAATCACTCATACCGCACAGACTCTTTATGATTTCCATATACAAGTTTCGATTTTTCTGCAACAATAATTAAATTTCGTAATGTTTTTCTTCAAGAAGCAATTTGCACCAAGGCTACATACTCGTATCTGATTAAAATCATTAAATATCAAATAAAATGAGTGAAAACATAAACTAACACAATATTTAGTTTTATTATCACATAAAACTTAGAAAGGCGAATTACCTTTGGATTATTGGGATCTTGCATAAAGTTAGGCCTTTCGTTAAGTTCTAAATATAGACTTGTTCCTATTTCGACAGAGTTTTCCATGCCTTTAAACGTGACAACTTCCGATTTCATATTGAAATTTTTCCGCAAAGTTTTTACAGATTTCGAAATTGCTTCGATGATTTCCTGGGACACTGGTACGATTCCAAGCATATTGTAATACTCTTCGGTGTAAAGTACTTTTACTTGACTAAGATCAACCTGTAAATGTTAACATTTAAATATATATTTATGAAGCATCGTAAAATAAATAAACCGCAAACCTTTTTATCCAACTCAAGACATTTGCCTTCATCGGCGCTCATTACTTTCAGCATCGGTTTTAGATCGCTTGCATAACGGCACATTGGGCCTATTGCAATATAACTACAGAAAGCAGAGTCAGTTGAATTTGGAAAATGCATCGTGTGTGGTATTATTCCTATAATAATATTAATTTTATTTTTCGACAATAATATTGATTTTTATTTACTTGGTGTTGTTTTATGACCAAAAATGCCTGAAAAAGAACATGGCACACGAATTGATCCAGCATAATCACTTCCTACTCCTGCTACTGAAGCACCAGAACCAATAATGGCGGCCTAAATACTTTATAAATAAATTTAACAGTTTAAAACACTTTAAAACGTTCAATACTTCACCGCCTGATGATCCAGCTACACTATAGTGTGTATTATATGGATTTTTAGTGCGCCCATTCAATAAATTTTCAGTTTCCAGTGCAGCACAATATTCAGGACAATTTGTTACAGCTAAAACAATAAATCCTGCCTTTTTCAACCGTTGTACACTAGCGCCATCTGCTGCACACTTTGATTCTTTTCGTTTCAATGATCCAACGGAGTAACTCATATCTAGACAAGATTATTATCATTATTAATGATTTCAATAAAATCCAAAAGTGAATCATTATAGATTTCAGACCTTTGACACCGCAACTTTCTTTGATGGTTATAGGTACACCTAAAAATGGCTTGTTTTTGACTAAAATGGCTTCGGAAATTTTAGTTTTTGCTATAAAATCATCCGCGGCTTTTGCATCCATAAGAGCCGCTTTAAATCTTTCATCAGTCACAGCATTTACAATAGGATTCACTTGTTTTATTCTCGTGATGTATGTAGAAACAACATAATGCGATGACAACTGTAATAAATTACATAATTATAATTTATTTTAAAGTTGACTTTACTTAAGTTGTTTACTTACTTTTTTCTGTCGTATTTTACTAGCTAACTCGGTTGCACTTAAAACTAAAACACGATTATCGATTGGTGGTAGTTTTTTCTGCCATCTGCAACGTTGTAGCCAAAACACTGGCTGTAAAATTTTATCAAGGAGAATAGCAAGCAGTCCGAAGATTCTAAATATCAAATCCATGTTTATGTGTTAATGTGAACTTGAAACTTTAAACTAATTGTATCAATCGATTGTAGAATTATTTAATTACACTCTGCTTATCGCACCAAAGATTAATTAGATTTTCGACAATAAGGAGATAAATTTGATTGAAATTTACGAGTACATTATCGTAAAGTGCACATCAAATTGATTTGTTGGATATTATTCGATCAATTGCGTAGTTTCGGTGGACATTAAGTTGTTTACTGGTTGTTAGTTTTTTGTTAGTCTACAAACATAACTATAAAACACTCCATGTGTTCGTGTTCCTAAATTTTAGTTTAATTATTATACAAAAAAGTTGACACTTAATTGATATCATGGGCTTTATTTAAGCGCATTGTAAAAAATTAGTTTATCAACTGTAATAGATCACAGTCCATTCACAGTCCAACAATAACAAAAACACTACATATTCATTACATTTTCATGAAAATAAAGTTTTGGGCGCCAAAATATATTTATTAACTTTTAAGATATTTTATAACGATGGTGTCCATCCCCCAATACTTTTTTCTAAAGCCTCAGCCACTGCTAGACACAATCGATCTTGTTTAGGGCCTGCAATTACCTGTAAAAGAATGTAAGTCAAGTAAAAATAGTAATTTTCTCAGATTAGACGTATTCTCACTTGAATTCCAATTGGTAACCCCTTTTTATCAAAACCAACAGGCACTAAAGTGCTTGGACATCCTAAAATGTTGAAAATCATTGAATAAGTGATTCCAGATGACTTTGTTAACACTTGATAGTGCTGGAAAGCTGTCGACGGAAATGCTGGATACAGTAACACTGCATTATCACCTAATTTATTCTGTAAACATAAATAATTTGTGTCATTAAAGATAAAATCATTTAAGCATTGACATATTGCGTAATTACCCAAACATCTTTCTGCAATGTCTTCATTTTCATCTTGTAATACGGCAATTGCGATTTTGGAATAAATGCATTGTATCGAATTATAAATTCAGCAAGTAACAAGTAAATAGATAAATTACTAGTGCCCATGATACTCTTTACAATTTCAATATACAAATTTAAATCTTTCTTTGGATTGTTGGGATCTTTCATAAAGTTTGGTCGATCCTTCATTTCAAGAAACAAAGTTGTGCCAATTTCAGGTGACAATTCCATACATTGAAATCTCACTAATTCTGATTTCATACGAAAATCTTTACGTAATATTTTTACAGTTTTGTAAATACTTCTCATGATATCTAAAGATACTGATGTTATGCCAAACATATTATAATAATCCTCCGTGAAAAGTACTTTGATTTGTGAAAGATCAACTGGTTTATTCAAGTCAAGGCACTTTCCTTCTTCATCACAAATGATTTCCAATATAGGTTTCAGGTCTCCGCGTAGCGACACATCGGACCAATTGCAAAATAATCATAAGAAACTGGATCAGTTGAGTCTGGAAAATGCATTGTTCTAGGGACAATATCTAAAATAAAACGCAATGAATTAAGAGTTATATACGGTGTGTTTGTTTCATAGATGTGGTTTATACTTGGCGTTGTTTTATGACCAAAAATTCCAGTAAATGAACATGGTAGACGAATGGACCCAGCATAGTCGCTTCCAATTCCAACAACAGACGCGCCTGAACTTATTAAAGCCGCCTGCAACATTCGTTAAGCAATTGTCTTCAATTAAGCTACTTAGTCTATCCAAACACATAAAGTGAGTAAAGTTAACACAACACATTAATTCTCTTTACCTCACCACCAGAAGATCCACCAACGGAATAATGTGTATTATACGGATTATTTGTGGCACCTGTAAGAAGATTATTACTTTCCAATCCAGAACAATATTCAGGACAATTGGAAACCACCAATGGAATAAATCCAGCTTTTCTTAAGCGTTCAACACTTGCGCCATCTGCATCGCTTTTGATTCCTCTGCGTGCCAAAGTACCAACAGCATGACTCAATCCTGATAATGTTAAATTTTTAAATAAACATAACGTAATCATTATATAAATTATAATTATATTAGTAACCTTTAACGCCGCAGCTTTCCTTAACACTAATGGGCACTCCAAGAAAAGGTTTGTGTCTTGCTAATTCATCCTCCGCCATTTTGGTGTGAGTGATAAAATCATCGGCTGCTTTAGCATCCACCAGAGCTGCATCGTATCGATCGTCAGTGACGGCATTAATTAACGGATTCACTTGCTTGATGCGCCCGATGTAAGTTGCGACGACGTAAAGCGACGTTAACTATAATTGCATTAATTGAATCGATGTTGAAATTCTTACAAGTAAATTACAAGCAAACTTACTTTTCTTTTGCGAATCCTACTAGCTAACTCAGTCGCACTCAATAATAACACTTGATTATCAATTGGCGGCACATGTTTAGGCGATCGCCATCGTCTCAGCCAAAACACTGGTCGCAAAAGTTTATCGATAAGGAGCACCAGGAGATTGACAAGGCGAAATATGTAATTCATGTTTGTGCCGACAAGGTTTCGCCTACACTAATCACAACTGCATTGCAATAACGCCAAACATCTCTAAACAAATTTCTCTTATCATCAACGTTTAATATAAAAATAGCGCTGGTAAAATAAAATAACCAACTTTTGAGTATACATCCTGCTAACCTCTAACATTAAGTATAATTCATATCGCGTTAATGGTTTTAATCGTGAGTCTTATTAAAATTGAAAGATCCTACTAAATTACTTGGATTATTTGCATTAGTTTTCTGCAGTCAGTGAGATTATGGAGACTTCCAACCTCCGAAAATCGATTGCAATTCTTTGGCCACTGCGAAACACAGTCGATCTTGATTTACATTAGCTACAACCTGCAACAAAACACAAATTTTCATTTTTAACAAATTTCTTGAATTTTTATTTAAAAACTTACTTGAACAGCAATTGGTAGGCCGCTACTATCGAATCCCACTGGTACTGTCGTAGTTGGAAAACCAAGAATGTTAATAATAAAGGAATATGCCATGCCAGCATACATAAACATAAATTCGCACTCCCTCAATGCGGTGGCAGCAAAAACAGGATAAATAAAAACGCCCGTATCCTTCAATTCGGCGCTCATCTCATTTCTGAGTTCGTTGAGTATCGTCGTGTACTTTTCAATCTTTTCTGGACTTGTTGTTTTCTTCGAAGCTGCGTCGACAATCTCATGAATCATAATGTACGCCGAATATTGCGAACAGCCAAACAAATTTAAAAATAACTGCGAAAGCACGCCGTACTCCCGCTGAAATGAAATAAAACCAAACTCCAGTTTACTGTAAACATCACGCAAATCATAAAACTCTTACATCTTTGGTTTTCATTGGCGAGTCGAATTTAATCTGAGCCGCTGTCACCGTGCATATTTCAGTGGCGTAGCCTAAATTGGGAAATTTTCTTTCCACAATCGTCGCTTTACAATTATCTCGCAGTAATTCGGCGCAGTCTCTGACGGATCGCTTAATTTCAGGCTGCACTTTCATCAGTCCAAAGTTCATTCCGCAATCGGTCATGTAATATATTCTCAGCTTGGCTAGGTCGACCTATTGACGAATCGTAACCCAGACAATAACAGATTATATTGATTGATGCGATATCAATGCTTACAGGCTCGTCCAAACGCAGCTCGTCCACTCGGTCCGAAACGACTTTCATCAAAAGGGGAATGTCCTCAGCATAACGCGCCATTGGTCCCACTACAGTATACTTAGCAAACAACGCATCATTCAAAGGAGGAATATGCCCTTTTGTAGAAATAAAACCTAAGATACACACAAAAAATGAAAAAAATAAGTAAAAATAAACAAAGTGGATATTTTTATTTTTAACTCACCGTGCGTTGGTTTGTGTCCAAAGACGCCATTAAAAGCACTCGGGTAACGTATGGAACCGGCTAGATCAGAGCCCAATCCAATCAGGGACGCACCAGCACCTAAAAGCGCACCCTCGCCTCCTGAAGAACCTCCAACGCTGCGCAAACTGTTGTAGGGATTGCGCGTCACCCCGTACAGCTTGCTGTAGGTTTCGATCGTCAAACAGAATTCGGGTGTCGTCGAGACTAATAAAATTATCGCGCCGGCACGTCGCAGCCGGCTCGTCGCCTCGCCGTCTTCGTCCGCTTTTACATCCTTATACAATTTGCAGCACATCGTCGCGCTGAGACCTTTGACTTGCAAATTCTCTTTGATTGTCACCGGTATCCCAAGTAGCGGTTTCGTCCTTTTGAGCGCCTCCAAATCGACGTTCTCCTGCGCCAACATTGCGTCGACTTCTTGCGCTTCTTTGAGTGCATCGGTGAAACGATCTTCGGCGACTGCATTGATGATCGGGTTGACCAAATTTATACGATTCACATACGCAGACACAAGCGCATAACTTGTAATCTTAAAAAAACAATAATTTTAAACAAATAATGACTTAAAACACGAAAATGCGATTATTTTTTTATACGTTGGCACGTGGTAGATTTATAAACGTATGTTATACAATGGTTTGTATTGTTTTGCGCGCGTAACTGACCGACAGGTGCACAGCGCGATGATCGTGTGTGTACTTACTTCTTTGTTGCGTATCTTTTCTGCGAGTGCGGTGGCGCTGAGCGTCAGCAACTGTTCAGTAGCGGGTGGGACGCGTCTGGCGCGCTTGTAAAAACACAGACACAGCTTCACGTAGCGCAGGAAGGTGCACACACCGATAATGATACCGGTGTTTATGCGCAATACATAATCCATGTCTGTATGCAATGATTGTGACCCGAATACTAACCGACTTCAAGCCGGCGACGAAATGCGCTCCGAAACTATAGCGCGCGCCTCAAAACGTACCGCGTACACACAGATAAAACACGTGCTCGCAGCCGCCGATAGCGCGACGCGGCATGCACTCAACGCGCGCCGGGACAAGGTTATCGCTGTTGCGGTAGAGAGGAGACCAACACCATACACACACACACAACTCGCTTCGAATACTAGAAGCGGCGCTAGAAGCAAATTGTTTAATTAACTATTAATGCCATTTACAATCGGTGCTTTTCATAAACGACGCCACGCATTAGCTCAGCGACATTAGCGCACGCTATTCATATTTTTAAACTTGCGCAGCAGCGCGAAATTGCCCGCTGGCGCCGGTGTTGGTGTCGAATGGTGGGAGCCAACCGCCGAAAACACTTTCCAGTTCTTTTGCCACTGCCAAGCAGAGGCGGTCCTGGTTTCTTGCTGCAATCACCTGCAAATACACCTTGAACTTTGTACGACAACTAGAACACATTGTGTAATAATTAACACGCACATATATATTCAATTAATGGAATTGACGTATTAAATGCTTTTTAGATGAGATTTAAAAGTTAATTGCCATTATGCGCGTCGAATAATTGGATTTTTAAGTACACTTTGAGCGAAAAGTTCAAAACACGTGTAAAAAATGTAAAAATAGACGTATGCAAATAGAAAACTGTTTGGTTTGTGAATTTACATACAAGTTTCAGTACACATGATAAATTACAACATAAATTTTCCTTTTTTACATGTAATTATCATTTTGTTTCAATTTTTTGCAATCATTTCTGTTTACCCAGCAAAATTTGTTTTTTTTTATATTAAAAATAAACGGATATCCGCATTGCGCATATTAAATAATAATCATTGCGTAAACAAATTGTTTCGACGTTATCAGACTTATTAGTTCGGACACATGGATGTAAATGTAATTATTTTAAAATATTCATACCTGAATACCCACGGGTAATCCGTTTTCGGTGAGTCCGACAGGTACGGTAGTCGCCGGAAGTCCCAATAAATTCGCCAGGCCCGGGTAGGTGCACGACGACAATGTGAAGCACGATGCGCCGTGTTTGAAAGCAGGCGTTGGAAATGTCGGGTATAAAAGAATGCCGTTATCTCCCAGTACATGCTAATGATAAAAACAAAAACTATCTATAAACATTTGCTGTCTTATTCAAAAAATTACTGACCAATCATATCGAACAATTCTTTAGCGTTTATCTAATGTTTTATCGTGTTTTATGAAGGAATTTTTACTTACATCAATTTTTTGTTCAAAATGCGTAACAAATTTCAGGATTGTATCTGTTTCACACGAATCTATCAATAGTTTCGGATGGTTTTTGCCAAGTAAATACAGAAGTAATCCCATTGAATAATCGGCTTTACCAAAAATTGATTTCATCCATTGATATCCTACTTTTACCTGTAATATACATCATCAGTGATTATATTATTGTCGTGGATTTGATTATACATTATCTGAAATGTAGTCATTTTGGTAGCTTAGGAATAAAGCGATAATGACAGGATCAAAACGCGCATCGTCGAATTTCACGTCACTAATGTGACATTTCCACTTGTTCCGAAAATGATCAACGGATTGTTTGATACGATGTTTTATAAGCGGATGTACTTTAAGTGTATTGGCGGGATTACCATTATCCTCCATAAAATGAACGTTTATATTATTTAAATTAACCTTAAATCAATTTTGACGTGGTAACATATTAGTATTTATGTTGTTGAGTGTATGATTGGTTGCGTACCTTCTCATCTAAACGTAGTAGAGGATTGTTTTTTGTCAATATTTTAGTTACAATTAGCAGATCTTCGGCATAACGACACAATGGTCCTATGGATAAACATTTTTTGAACAGAGGTTCTTCTGACCATGGTACATGCCCACTTATATCCACAACACCTATACATACATTAATTTTTGTTTTATTGCAAAATTAATTTTTTTTTAAATTTTGTTACCTGTGCTTGGTTTGTGTCCAAATATTCCACAAAATGCCGCAGGTATCCTCACAGATCCCATAATATCAGATCCCAAGCCACAGACTGAAGCAGCAGATGATATTAATGCACCCTTACAAAAAACACAAAATAAAACAATCTACCACTTAAATATTTAAATATCAATTTACTTACTTCACCACCAGATGACCCCCCACATGTTGTTCCAATATTGTAAGGATTATTAGTTTTCCCGGTCACCAAATTATTCGTTTCATTACTAATACATAACTCTGGTGTTGTAGTCACACACAATGGAATACCACCAGCTTCAATCACCATTCTAACACTTTCTCCATGTTTTTCAGCTATAAATCCACGACGATTCTTCGCACCTACCACCAAAGGCATACCCTGCATTGATAAAGATTCTTTGACGGTAATTGGTACCCCAAGTAATGGTTTCCGCTCAGATAATTCAGTTTCAGTTAATTCTGTTGTCTCTAAAAATTTGTCAACGTTTCTTGCTTCTTGTAAAGCATCTTCGTATCGATCGGCAACAATAGCGTTGAGGACTGGATTAACTTGTTTCTGGCGTTCAATAAAATTAGACACAACTTCAAATGAAGATATCTGTAGATTAAGTAGAAATTAATTTTGTTTATTGTTTTGTTTTTTATATTTTTACAAACCTTTTTATTACGAATGTAATAAGCTAGTTGTGTTGCACTCATTTCAAATATTTCATTCGTAGTAGATGTGATGCGATTCCTCCCCTTGCGTTCATTACAAAAACACGAAAATAGTTTTAAAAAACTGTAAAAGTTTAATAACACCTTGTTGTTGCGCTTATATCGCCTGAAATTTAGGCTTTCATACTCGCTGAAACTAAACGATCGAAAACAATTATAACGGAACACAGAATTACTTTGGATTTATTCAAACCTGGTCATGGTTCATAGATGAAACTCGAACTGGCATTGGCAGCGAATTTGTTTACCGCTGTTAGCTACGTGTAGCTTCCGCAGACACAAAAACCGGAATAAAAAATAATTATACAAAAGTTTAAACTGTAAAACAATTCACATGTTTTGTCCTTTTTAGTTGACTCGTATGTCGTCAGCATTGTTATTTCGTATTGCAAAATATCACATAGTTAACATAAACATCAGAATACATTAGAAATATTGATTGGAATATTCCTATTTTTAGTTTTTGTTAATAATATGGAAATATTCAAAGTCAGCAGATAAATATTTTGAATTTTTCTTTTTGTGAAGGTAGAAAGAGGGCAATTAAAATTAAAATAATAAAATTTAAGGTGTAAACATTGAGGTTTATGTAAGTATTAGTGATTTGACGTAGTTTTTAAAAGTTTTTACAAAAGTTTTTAGTTTATTTAGACATAACAACTAAAAAAGTCAAGGATATCCTAACCAAACATGCAATACACGGATCAGTTTCAAAATTAAAATATTTATTACCTATTCTATTGATAAACAAGTAAAAAATCAATTAAAATTAAATTAAAATTTTTAAAAATAAAAAAATTAGTACGGTGACATCCAACCCCCGAAAACAGTCTCAAGCTCTTTGGCAACACTCAAACACAGACGGTCTTGATTTTTCCCGGCCATCACCTAAAATAATCACCATTTAATTTTTGCATATGAAATATCGCAGTTATTAATGTCATTCTACCTGAATCCCAATAGGTAATCCATTCTCGATGAAACCCACTGGTATTGTAGTAGCAGGTAGCCCAGTGATATTAGCAAGTGACAAATATGACATGGAACTACTGGTGAACACGGACATGCCATGTCGGAATGCAGACGACGGAAACACGGGATAGAAAAACACTCCATTATCACCTAATTCTTTCTATAAAGTAATTAATATGCATCGATTTATCACACTTTATGCAATTTGAGTTGCATAGACTTACATTTATTTTATCCGCCAGGAAGTCAACGAAATGTTTCATTTTTTCCACGTCGTTAGGCATTATAAACTTGTCATTTTTTACACATAAGTAGAATAAACGTGCAGCTGAAATATCTGCTTTGCCAAATATTGTTTTTAACAATTGGAAGAGAATACTTAACTAAAACCAAACAAAATTAATATTTTTGTTATTAAAAAATCTAAAATCTTTATTATTACGTTTGGATTATATTGTTTATCATCAAAACTCAACATGAAAGTGAGATTTGCTTCGTTTGTATATTGCACTTCATCAAACTTGCAATCACTCATATCACAATCCCATGTTTTGCGGAAGTGGTCAACTGCATCACGAATACGTTGTTTGATTTTTTTGTGTACACCCATTGATCCAAAGCAGCTTCCGCCATCAACCATGTAATACATTTTTAAATTACTCAATTTCACCTGAAATAAACTAAATTAATTATAGAAAAATGTTTAAAATATTTGTATGACATACAGGATCATCCAGTTGCAACAAAGAATTATTTTCTGTTAATATTTTAGTCATGAGTAGGAGATCTTCTGCATATCTGCATAATGGTCCAATGGTTAACATTTTTTGGAAAATTACTTCTTCTGAATATGGAACGTGACCAACTAAATCAACAAGACCTAAAATAACAAGGTTAAAATTTTATTATTTACTTTATACTTGCATATAAGTAACCTGTAGATGGTTTATGACCAAAAATACCACAAAACGCTGCTGGTATTCTTATAGAACCTGCTAAATCTGACCCAATACCAATTACACTTCCGGCTGAAGAAATAATAGCGCCCTAAATAAAAATTCAATAAAATATTTATTTTTATTATTTAATTCATTTGTATTACTTCACCACCTGACGATCCCCCAGATGCATAATTAACATTATATGGATTGTTGGTTTTACCGGTGACTAAATTATTTGTTTCGGTGCTTAGACAAAATTCAGGCGTTGTTGTGACACACAATGGAATAGCTCCTGCATTTACTAATTTTTGTACAGCTGCGCCATTTTCTTCTGCTTTGATGCCAATACGCTCACGGGCACCAACCACAAGATTCAATCCTTTTACAGAACAACTTTCTTTGATGGTAACAGGTACGCCAAGTAAAGGTTTATCATTTGCTATTTCATCTTCAGTTTTTTGTAGTTTCAGCAAGGAATTTATCCACTTCCTTTGCTTCAAATAATGCATCGTCATAGCGGTCAGCGACGATAGCATTGATAATAGGGTTCACTTGTTTCTGACGCTCGATAAACGCCGATACAACAATTGTGCTGGTGATCTATAAATAATTACAAGTATTTATTTACATTTATTACTAAATTAATAATTAAAAACTTTAAAAAAATGTTTTTACTTTTCTTTGACGAATTTCTCTTGCTAATTGTGTTGCGCTTTTCTTAAAAATATCATTTTCTGTTCTCGGGAGTTTTTTAGGTGTGGTATCACCATAGACAAATCCAGCGATTACATTATACACATAATAAAGAAAAACAAATATAGCAGCTATCAAACGATACTGCACACACACTAATCCCTCAGTGGCGCTAAAATATTATCAATCACACCAAATATACCAATGTATAATCAATAATTTTGATAAAATTTAAACTTACTTGCCCATTGCCTTGTGATGACGATTATATCGAGTGAGTATGTTATGACTGGCTATGTTATAATAATTTCACCGCAGCCGAATGCACAAAATGTAATGTGCAGAGAGTTGCACTTTGTTTGTCTTCCTTTCCTTCTCAACACGGAACAAACACAATTTCACTCTCTCGTATGCTCGGCGCGCACTCAAATGAATATTAGTGATAACTTTCTCGCGGAGCCGTGAGCGCAAAATGAAATAAATAAATTGTTGCTGGGGATCGATGCAATTATTATTGATTTTCGAGTGCTCAACCAGTTTTTTCGTCTGTGTTGATTTATAACATTCACTTACAAATAGTTTAGAGTGAAAAATCAGTTACAACTGATAAAATAAGATAACAGTCTATTTATAAATATTAAATCATAAATGGAATGTTGATAAGCAATTATTTTTTATGCGGTGTAGAATATTCAGGTGGTGTCCAGCCTCCATAAGTAGTCTCCAAGTATCTTGCTAGTTTCATTGGTACCCTGTCATTTAATTGTTTTGCAACAACCTAAAATCATCAATAATCTACAACTATTGAACGGAAATAGAAATTTTAATTACTTGTATTCCTATGGGTAATCCATTAGAATTTTTCCCAATAGGTACCACACAAGAAGTCAGATCCAGCGCGTTGAATATGCCCATATAACAAGGATCCATTGTTTTCGCGTAGATTTGTCCGTGAACAGGCGCTACACTGGGAAATGTTGGATACAGTAACACACCATCATCCCCAAGCATTTCCTCAACTTCTTTTTTCATTTCTTTCAATAATATCTTATGTCTTTCAAATACCTCCTCACTACCCAGAATTTTGGAGAAGAAATACAACATTTCAAACAAAAGTATTGACAAAACAATTCGTGGACTACAAAACATTGTTCGAATCCATTCCACAAATAATGAAATGTTTTTGTATGACATCTCTTCATATGCACCTTCCATGCTTAAAAGATTTATGTAAGCAATGTCGAATTGATCGGCAAACGACTTCAATTGCACCTGGAACAAATTATTTACGTAACGGTGTAAGTTTGCAGCCGCATTCGAAAGTGCTGGAGTTGTGCAATATATAATTACAATGGTAACTATTTTATATTTCCCGGTACGAGTGGTGACGGATAGACACTTTCCTCACTCGGAGATGTTTCTATGTGAATAAAGTAGTGTTTGCGTTTAATTATTCACCAAGTGAACTTGCACATCATTGCGATATTATGACATTATCTACAGTGTTAAAAAATAATAAATACAGTGTGACGAATGAATATTAATAAATTATAAATAAAATTACGTTTTCTGTGAAGAATCCATCATCTTCCAAGTGGGCCACAACCTTTTTCATTGCAGCGACTATTTCGGAGCTTACTTTTGTTGTTGGATAATTACTCCCACTACCAAACATGTAGAAAACACGTATTGTTTTTGCGTCAAACTAAAAATTATAAATTTTAATATAAATTTTTAAAATTTGTTTTTTTTTTATCTGATTACCTCTTCAAATAATTTAATTTCTTCGATTTTTTCAGGTGGTACAATACATTTTAATACAAGTGGTAAATCTACTGCGTATCTAGTGATAGGAGAAAGAGATAATGCATGATGTTGAATATAAGGACTATGTAATTCAATAGGCGTTAAATTTGAAGAAGTACGATGTCCATACACTCCACAGAAACTAGGTGGACCTCTTCCGGAACCAATCATATCAGATCCAATCCCTATTAATGATCCACATGCAGCAATGAGAGCCGCCTGAAATTTTTTGCCCATTTAAAATTAATTTAACGAATTTTTAGTAAAATTTAAATAGATACTTCGCCTCCGGAAGATCCCCCAGCTGATCTCCTCGTATCGTAAGGATTAAGTGTCCGTCCAGTAGCATAATTCATACACTCCCAATTCATGCAAAGTTCCGGCGTGTTTGTCACCAAATAAATAATCGCACCCGACGCTTTCAACATCTCCACAGCTTTCGCATCTTGCGTTGCAATTCTAGGTCTTATCTTACTTCCTACTCCCCAACTCATACCTTGCACTGCAATACACTCTTTCACTGACACTGGTACTCCCAGCAGAGGATACCTCTCCTCTAGTTCCTTCGTATTCAATCCACTGTTCCTCACAAAATCATCCGCATGCTGCGCTTCATTCATCGCAACTTTAAACCGCTCTGTCACTATGGCATTGAGTACCTTGTTGACTTCTTTCGCTCTGTCAATGTACATCGACACAACATAAACACTCTTCAGTTTTTGATTGCGAATTCTGTCGGCAATTACAATCGCCGGTTGTAAATAAACATCGTCGTAAACTGGGGGACATCTTTTAGGGCTTTGAAGTTGAAAGTACAACCACATAGGGATATGTAAGATCCGGTTCATATGGCCGGTAAACCATACGAGGAAATGTATTATAGCTCGCAGCATTTTGCTTATACTGAGGACGGTTTGAAATGAAAACTAATTCTAGTTATGCTGGACAGGGGTGTTTTATTTGCATTGACTACTCGTAACGCGAATGTATATAGGTAATATATATAATTATTTCGTTTGATGTGGAGGAAAGTATAGTGTTGTTATGGTTCCTTGACGCATATTGCACCTGGATTCTTTTACATTATAGGGAGTTGGTTTTTCTAGCACTGCAAATAATTATAGAAGCATATTCGGACGAAAAACAAAAGAGAATTAATTAGTACATGGTTTGACTGCTTAGGATACATTATTAATTAGTATTGGCATAAGATAGCTATAATTACTAGTACTACAGAAATTACAATATTTATTTGCTAAGAAAGTGCATGTAGAGTTTGAGGAGCAAAACTAAAGAAAATGAACACATCGCGACATCTGTTAGCAACTAGTAGAAAGCTTATAGCAGAGTGTACTGCGGGAAATATATAGTCAAGCAGCGTTTTGATCTATAAAAATGGTTTAAGGTAATAATTATACTTCACACTCAACTTGATTTTTTTCTAAAACTAAATATTAATAAATAAAGACTTTGAATGTAATTTATTATGTTTATATTTATTCTTTTGTAAAGGCTGTGTATCTAATCCTGGAATAAGGGTCAGGATGGCCGAGTGGTCTAAGGCGCTGCGTTCAGGTCGCAGTCCACTTCTGTGGGCGTGGGTTCGAATCCCACTTCTGACAAACCTTTTGTATCAATCCTGTAATCATTTACCTATTCAAAATTTTATCTCATCTTAAATCACCAAATAAAAAAATACATATATTTTGAATTATTTACATTTTTTGACTTATATAATAAGTAACTATAGGGATTATAATAATCTAAAAGGAGGTTATTCCCCCAAGTAAAGTCCCTGAATGACGAATGCCTCGACTAGGCGCCACTCGCACCAGGAGCGCAGAAAGTTGAAAGTAACAAGCGTTAGTCTGCTAGCAGCAGAAGGGATGAAAAGGGAGGTCGGCTGCCTTGAAGCAGTGAGCGCGCCAGGAGCACATTGTACGCCCGAACTGTCCGACATGAAGGATCGCACAGGACGGAGGGAGCACTATAACATCAATATATAACGAGCGTATGAGACACGAGCGACGACGCCGCGCTCCTGGGAGGTCTAGAAGGCCGTCGGGATATGTAGGACGCGATGGATAGCTGACAAGGCAGCGAATGCGAATTATTCAAGCAGTAAAAACAGCAAAATGTCTACATTCGCTTATTTTAGGTTGAAAAATGTGCGCGGTTCAAGGATTTGTATACCGCCACCGCCCCATTGTGAATTCCAGCTGAAAACAAAGAGAAGATGCAGGCGCCTGGATGCTGACCACCCATTGCGACGCCGGGACTTGTTGGATTTCGCCACGGATTATTACACATTGTTTTTTTGGCATATTTTTTACCGGACGAATCGCGCCATCGTGGTGCCAACCCCAAAGGAGCCCTTGACCCGGCTTGAAATCATATCCGCATCGCAATGTCCTAGGAAATGTGAAGCGGGCGGCGGCAACAACAAAATACTTTGCGGTATAAATAAAGTGATTCGAGTTGGGAGCACAGATGGTGCGTGCAGGGGGGATGGTCGGCATGCGAGTTCAACTCGACGTGATACATCACTAGCAACACCGCGTTTTGCTTTTCCTGAACTTCCGCTCTCGCTCCAGCTTCCTCCCCACTAGTCGTCCTCGGCCGCCAAAGACGACCCGACGCGATTACCTTGTGCACCCCCACCATCACCGGCTCGCCGTCTCCACCACCACCACTGCCGTCTCAGCACTCACGGAAAATTGAGTTCGTCGTATTTATTACCGCATCCCACTTTATATACAAAGACGAAGTGTTGCGCTGCAGGACGAGGAAGGATAACGTTGTTGAGCGCATGTAGCGATGAAGCGCTCGCGTTATCGCGTTGTCAGCCTCTCGCTCTCTCATCGTACTTCCGCACTTAACACTTTCTTCATTGTCTGCATCATCATTCATCGTTTAATTAATTCTCAAATATTTAGGTTGTTTTGATCAATTCCATTGTTTTAGTAAAAATTTAGTAAAAATCTCTTAATTATCACATAGATTTTTTTGTAATTAATGAATTCATAACAAAAACAATGTTTGTAAGGCTTGGGTGTTTATGTAACGAAAGAACAAAGCGTGCGTCCGGCAATATGTGTTTTCAACCTTATTAAGTCGAAGTAATTAAACGTAATATCTAAAGTAGAGCGTCACGTTTCGTGCGGGAAGCAAATAAACGTCAGGGATTGTGTTGTAGTAGTAGCGGAGAGTTTCAAGGGAGGGCTCAGTCGACGGCGGCGAGTTAGGTCGACTTGCGAGAGTCCTGCAAGAGTGGGTGGCGGCTAGCCGCCCGCGCGTACCATCCCATTCTTCCCGCGATCTCATTTTCTCCGTATCTTCGCGCCGCCGACGTGCCACTGCTCGCGCACAAACTTGCCAACTTGAATAGAACCCACCCGCGCAAAAGAGAGACCCCTAGATGCAAACATGCCCAGCCGACAAATGAAAATATAAAACGGAGAAAATAACGGATGACATTCAGGAGTTCCTCTTTTCAACGAGAATGGAAATTATTCGAAACAGGCGATTCTGTTATAGCCTGTAGCACGCAAAAACTGGCTGACTGCTCATGCTTTGTGAGTTGCGCAAATGTTGAGCGAAAAGCCGGCCGTACGTTGGCTCGATCAGAGAGGGTGGAAATGCGCGTCGCACTCACACGTACACGCCGGGGGTGGAAAACGATTGCGAGATGAGGACGAGAAGAACGTGGTTATAAATCTGCCGGCAACATAAACAGCGCAACAGAAAGAGACTGCCACGCCGTGACGGCAAGTTTATGATATTTATTTGCTCGAGTTTCTTCTTATTATCGTCATCCCCTTCTTCTGCATTCTTGGCGCATTATACAACGAACGTGTCATGTGTTAGTATTATGTTAACACTACAAATATAAAATATTTGGATTTTTGCGTGGATAATTACTGAATACAAACAATTTTAACTTGTTTTTAAGTTTTCGGCTTCTATTAGAAGCAAATAGTTTAAATTTACACATGAAATTCTCTAACTTCTAGTTGAGTAATAATTCATTTAGAGTTTTAGGTTAACCCCGCTGCTTTATGATACTTAATATCCTTACTAATATTATAAATGCGAAAATCCTGATGTTTGTTACACTTTCACGCAAAAACTACTTAACCGATCATCATGAAAATTTGTACACATATTCTTAGTGGTCCCTGAAAGGTTATAGGCTACTTTTTATTTAATATAAAAAAATATTTTTTAAATAAAATAAAGAAATTGTTTAGTCAATAATACCGTTGCATCTGGTTATTTGACTACTTGAACGCCATCTAGCATTCCAGCAATGAAGCTCAAACCTAAGTACTATAGTACCATCACACTGTATTATCACACTGTATTACCGACAGCTACGTCAACATCAAATCCAATTGACTACACTATGGAGACTGTACACTATACTTCCATAGACTATACTTTCAGCCATTTTAAACTTCCCGCCATTCTACTTCATTGTTACTTCTTCTGTGACTACAGACGCATACGGAAGCAACTTCATTGATTTCTAATATTTATTTGATGGATTCAACGCAAGCGAAGCCGCGGGATAAAGCTAGTATTTAATATAAAACAAATCTCAATATGTGTACATCACCCCCGCCCACACAAAGCTCGTTGTGTGGCGTGGAAAATTTAGTTTTCTACCTTTTAACCCGTGACGCGCACATGACGCTGTACGACGTGCCAAAGCAACGAGCACATTGCTCTCATCATCGTCCTACTAACTGGCGAACAAGGCGGCACGGACGACGAGAACAGAAGGAGCCAAAGAGGACGGACCAAGCACTTCCTCATAAAAAGCGCACAAACTTCTTCCCCGTCTGCGCAATAAAACCAAGAGCTGAGTATACTCGGAAATTTTAGTAGCGACGACGATAATGCCTAAAAATCAAAGCAGAATTTAAGAAGTGTAAAAACTTCGCTTTATGAATATTCAACTTTTGATATAGTTGAAATTAAATAAGTTTCATGCGCACCCTTCGCAAATTAATTATTTATTTATCGACGCGCTGGAATAATCACTATGTGCACAGGTAATGGTAGATTACGGCAATATAACCAATAATATACCAATAAATTTGTTCGATATGAAATTATATTGTAAGCGATACGTCGATCGATATTTCATAAATCAATAAGTTAACTCGAGTTTCACATCGTGCTCGACGGTTAAG